GGTGGGCCAGGATGTCGGCGAGGACGTGGACCGGCCCTCGGACACAGGGAGCTGGCATGTCTTCTCCACCCTAGGCTGCACCTCGTGGGGGCCTGGGGGGGAGCGGAACGCAGGGACCCACCCTGGGACACCGGTAGCTGGGACGCTCGCTCGGCACCAGGCTGCGCCTCGTGGGGGCCTGAGGAGCAGGAGGGACCACCCTCGTGGGGACGACCCCACATCTGGCAGCAGGACGAGGTGCATGGACCGACAAGACAGAGCCCCGAGCCTGAAGCCGCCCTGGGCCTCAGCCAGGCCCGGCGAGTTACCACGGGGCAGTTACATCACGGCTCTGCAATGCGGCCTCGTGCTGGCCCTGCCGGCGAGGGATCGGGCGGGACTTAAAGGTCACCAACCAAGAGGCAGAACGATTTACGGCCCCCAGGGCCCCTGGGATGTGCGTAACCACCTGTGGAATTGCACCTGCTCCATTCGACAGGGACCAGGGGCCTGATGTTACAGCCAGACCTTGGGGCCAGCCAACCAGCGCTGAGTGTGCCTGTGTGGGCACAGCCAGGGCCTGCACTGGCACAGGGCGCACCAGCGCCTGTCCGGCTCAGGGCTGGACTCGGACTCCGAGCTTGTTTGGTTCACTTGTTGGGGTTCCGAGTGCTTGCAGTGGCCAGAGGGCGGGGGGTGCGTGGCCCAGTGCCGGAGGCAAACGGAGCAGAGTGGAGTAAAAGGGCCGTGACGAACTGCATTTGTCCAGCCAGTATTCCCAGCCTTGCCCGCCAGGAGCCAGCGTGGACGGGGCTCGGGGAGGCCGCGGGGCCGCGTGGACGGGGCTCGGGGAGGACGCGGGGCCGGCGTGGACGGGGCTATAGGAACCCCAGTGACTCAGGCTGTCCTGCCGGGTCCCCACCCTGGCCACTCGGTCTGCTTTTCCGGGTGCCGGTAACAGCGGGCTGAGGCCAGCCGCCGCGCCCCGGGAACAGCAGAGCTGGAGAAACACGGAGGCAAGCGCCGGCCTCTTCCGGGGCGACGAGGCGGCCTCCTGTGTGGCCCCCACTCGTGTCCTTGCAGAAGTCACTGTGACCTCCACGCCGCGAGCGCCAGCGGCCACGCGGTCCGCACAGCCCCTCTGCTCCCCAGGGGACACTCACCTGGACTCGCGTGGGCCGGCTCCTGCCGTCTGCCCCCGTGGGGAGCGGGGCTCTCCTCAGGAGCCCGTGGTGGCGGCGAGCACGCGGCCACAGCAGCGGCATCCCTGCGGCCACGGGCTCGGTCCCATGGGAGGGCTCGGTCCCACGGAAGGGCTCTGTGAGGGCCAGGTGCCCGGTCGGCCGCAAGCTCCGGCGGGGCCGCAGCGCGAGCTGGCTGCACACACTCCTGGGCGGAGGCGCTGCTCACTGCAGGCCGCGTGGGGAGCAGCGAGGGGCGCCCGCTGTCCCCCCTCCGCGGTGTCAGCCGGGAGCCGCCAGCCCAGCGGCCTGCTCCCCTCAGCTGTGCTCATGTGGGGTGGCCTGCTCCCCTCAGCTGTGCTCATGTGGGGCGGGCGGCCTGTTCCCCTCAGCTGTGCCCGGGCTGTGGGGCGGGCGGCTCCCCTCAGCTGTGCCCGGGGTGGGGGCGGCCTGTTCCCCTCAGCTGTGCCCGGGGTGGGGGCGGCCTGCTCCCCTCAGCTGTGCCCGGGCTGTGGGGCGGGCGGCTCCCCTCAGCTGTGCCTGGGTGGGAGCGGCCTGTTCCCCTCAGCTGTGCCCGGGCTGTGGGGAGCCCTCTGCAGACTCCAGGAGGCGCCCTCTGCCTCCAGGAGGCGCACGACGCCTCACTGACACGCTGGGGGCGTGGCCTCCTGAGAAGCGGAAACCGCCTGCACAAGGCCCCCCGCTCGCCCATCCTCAGACCCCCCAGTGCCCTTAGGAGTGCCAACCCAAGGGCAGCCCCTGGGCACTCCCACAGACTGGATCCCAAGGCAGGCCCCACTCTGGAATACCTGCCCAGCCCTAGGTTGTCTACAACAATAAAAGCCACACCCCCCAAGTCATGGCTCCTGCCATGGTGTGGGGTCGTCAGCAGCACCAAGCCCAGGTCCCTACTGAGCTATGACACCTCACCCTCACGTGGCCCCAGGCCTGCCCAGGAGCGGAAACCAGGCAGCTAAGTTCATGGAGATGCAACAGAATGGCAAACCAAGGGGACGGCGCTGCAGTGCAATGCATGACGCTGCCACCTGCAACACAGGCACAGCACACCGACAACCAGTTCTGGACCTGGCTGGTCCCCTTGCACTGGACAGCCCATGGCCTTGGACCCTGCACCCACGTGGATGCCCTGGCTCATCCCTGGCTGGTCCCCTTGCACAGGACAGTCCATGGCCTTGGACCCTGCACCCACGTGGACACCCTGGCTCAGCCCTGGCTGTGGCAGCCATTTGGGGTGTAAACCAACAGGTGGACGTTCTCTCTCAGGAGCATACCTTGAAGACACTCCAGACAGGCAAGCCATCTCGGCCCCAAGGCCTGGGCAACACACGAAGCCCACTTTTCCAGTTGTGGAGATCAACAGCACTGCACGGGCATGCTGCGAGCTCGAGTAAGGGAGGAAGATGAGGCCGACAGAGCCAACCATGGCCCTTGGCGTGGGAGGTGCCACGTGGTCAGGACTGAGGCGACTGTGCCAGCCCGCCTCCCAGCCCCTGGCCTTGCATCCAGCACTGACCTATGCCTTGAAGATGCAAGACTGCACATTCACGCAGCCAGGTCACCAAGTCTGGGTGCACTTGTAATAATCAATAGTCAATTATAATAACTAGTAACAAATAAACACATCACTTGGAGCCCAAATCCCAACTTGTGATGCAAATGTGACCGCTCTCTGAGGCCAGGGGCCAGAGCTGGGGCCCCAGGGCATGACGCACTCATCAGGGAGGAACCCTGTGTGGTGGTGCCCGCCTGTCCGGGCTGCACAGGTGGCCCTGCCCCTCTGCGGCTGCTCAGTCCAAGCTCCAGGCAGCTTGGGTTCCTTTCGGGCACCATGCATGCTTCACCCTGCTCTGCCTGGCAGACGGGGCTAGAAGGACCCACCTCCCTGCCAGTAGGCCGCATTTCAGCCTCCACACTCCCCACAGCCACTCCACTCAGCCCCTCACCAAACCCTGGACCTGAGATATGGGCGGCGTAGCCTTGGGAAGGACTACCGCTGGCCGAGTCCCCCAGGCACGACCAGGCTTCCCTGAGGGGATGTCTAGACCCCACACCCAGGCTCAAGCAAGGGTTGGTGGACACTTCTGGCCTGCCCCATACTGGACAGTGGCTGGCTCAGGCCTGCCCAGGCTGTGGGGGACAGCGGCAGGTCAGCCCCGAGAGCCTCGTCTTCCTTGTCTGGGGCACACAAGCAGTGCCCATCTACCCCAACCAAGTGGCCAGTAAGCCCAAGGCCCCCGCTTGGAGGTCCTCAGCTCTCATGAGGCCATCACTCGTCCTGTGACAGGTACAGAAATGTGGAGAGTATAAGGAAATGCTTCTAGTGACACGACAGAGCCCCATGCACGGCACCAGGGCCCCCCATGTCCCGACTGCCAGACAGGTGGCCAAGATGGGGGGCATGGCTGTCCTCACTGTCCCTGTGATAGTCCCTCTGAGGTGATTCAGGTTGTCCCTCTGTGGTGACCCATGGCTGTCCCCCTGTGGTATCCTGTCACTGTCCCCCTGTGGTATCCTGTGGTTGTCCCCCTGTGGTATCCTGTCACTGTCCCCCTGTGGTATCCTGTGGCTGTCCCCCTGTGGTATCCTGTGGTTGTCCCCCTGTGGTGACCCATGGCTGTCCCCCTAAGGTGACCTGTCGCTGTTCCCCTGTGGTTTCCTGTGGCTGTCCCCCTGTGGTATCCTGTGGCTGTCCCTCTGTGGTGACCCATGGCTGTTCCCCTGAGGTGACCTGTCGCTGTTCCCCTGTGGTTTCCTGTGGCTGTCCCTTTGAGGTATCCTGTGGCTGTCCCCCTGAGGTGACCTACCGCTGTCCCCCCGTGGTATCCTGTGGCTGTCCCCCCGTGGTATCCTGTGGCTGTCCCCCTGTGGTATCCTGTGGCTGTCCCTCTGAGGTGAACCAAGGTTCTCTGTCCCACTCCCCAAGGAGGGAAGAGGACGCAGTGTGGAGGTCCTGCCCGCTCCCACTACGCTGTGTAGACCGTGGAAGCTGCAGCCTCAGACACCAGGCTGGGGACACAGGACCTGCACTATTTCTTCTATGATTTCTTTCATAATTCTGTTTAATGACTTGTTTTAAGATTCATTTGAAAGGCAGAGGGAGAAAGAAAGGGAGAGACAGGGAGCTCTCCTATCCGCTGGCTCACTCCTCAGATGGCTGCAGATAGCAGGAACTGGGCAAGTCTGAAGCCAAGACAGTCCACGAGGGCTTGACCCAGCGCCCACATGAGCTGCTGGCATCACAGGCAGCCCTGCCCTGTGTGGTCCCTCTGACCTTACAACGTCCTGTGTGCGCAGCACAGGGAAGCTCAAAGGAGAAGCCCGTGGCGTCCATCCTGGACCACAGCCTTGCAGGCCTCAGCTGACCACATCTCTCCCCACAGAGCTTCCCAAGCGGAGTGGACAGTGCCCGTGTGCTTGGCCCCACGATCCCTCTGCTCCTGGACAGCCTGCGTCAGCTGCGTCTGTTCTGATTTTGCACTGGGAGTGTCCATAGCCTAGAAAATGCCTCCCACCCATCAATCTGGTGCACTGAAACCACACAACTCGGCCGTGGGCTGCCCAGGGCTGCCAGGCCGGCTGCTGTAGCCGACAGGTAGGCATCAGCCTTGCTAAGGCTCCATAGGGCCCCCAGAGGGAGGTGTCCAGAGTGAGCTCAACAACACCCCACCTTACCACCATGTGAGGGGCACAAGTGGGTCCCACGGACCCATCCCTAAAGGGCCACCTCCCCCTGTGTCCACAGCCTCATCTGAGGATCCCCAGAGCCCACCTGTCCAGAATCCCTGGCATGGTGCAAATGCAATGGCCATATGCTAGCAGTGGTCATAAATACATTTATTTCATCAGAAATGCATAATTGCAGTGCTGGGGCGTCCCCTGGAGAGGTGGGTAAGCGGGTCATCACGCCAAGAGCCGCCCGCACAGGGGCTGCGCACAGCCTCCGCTCCACCGGGCCACACTGCCATTCTCTCCTTTGTTACAAACACCATAGCAAATTGAAAAGAGCCTTTGAAACAAAAATATCGCCGATTCTGATTTCCCAAGAGCGCACGGTGCCAGGGCGACCCGCCCCTCCTCCAGGCACCCGTGGCATGACTCAGCACAAGGGGCTCGAGGCAGGGGCACAGGGTCTCCGTCTCTGGTTCTTGGGGGACGCTCCCCGAGGGGTGCGTTCTGCACACACATGGGAATGGCCATGGGCACAGCCGCCAGCCACCTCACTGGATCTGGATGGCCCCATGCTCCAGCTGCATCTCGGGCTGCAGGGTCTCGGCCGTCTGCAAGAGAGGAGGGGGTGGGTGTGTCTGGAGGGGTCCCCGCAGTGCTCTGAGGACATGCCACCACGGATACACCCACAGGTGAACGTGGCTCCTTTGGCCCAGGACCCCTGCTCGGCCTTCCTGGGAGAGCTGCTACCAGGGACAGCCTCCAACAAGCTGCAGGTCCCGAAGTCACCCACGCCTTCATTCTCAAGTGAGGACCGGCCATGTAAACCTCCCTGGAGTGTCTCCAATAGAAGAGGGGCTGAGGAAGGGGACAGAGGGCACCTGACACCTGTGCCGGCCCAGGCTGCAGAGGAAGCGAGGGGTAGTCCCTGTGTCTAAACGAGTACCCCAGGACTGGGCTTATAGCACCCAGCAGAGAAGCCTGCAGAGAGAGCCCCCTCCAAGCGCAAGACTCCACAACTTTCCGAAGGTAGTATGGGTGTGGGAGTGTCCCCCCACATCGGAACAGCCCTTCGCAGGACACCTACAAGAGGGGTGCTGACCTCAGGGATGGCAGGGGCTAAGCTGAGGAGGCCTGTGGTCCTCAGACACAGAGCAGGTGCTCCAGGGACAGGCAGCCAGTGTCCCCCTTGGGGACCCATCCTCTTAGGGTGAGGCTGGAGATGCCCAGGGAGCCCCACAGACAGAAGCAGGTGAGCCCCCTCAGCCCCTTCACACGGCTATGCGGGCTCAATGTTCACGCCCTTTGGCAGTGACAGCACTGCCCAGCATGTCTTCTCCCTGTGACACCCGCCAAGGCACAGAGGACAAACAGGCTTCCAGGAACGCAACCTGCCAGCCCCTGACAACCTCAAGGAGCAGACCAGGTCCTCCAAGGCCTGCAGGCCCCTGGTGAGGGTATGGGTCCTCCAAGGCCTGCAGGCCCCTGGTGAGGGTATAGGTCCTCCAAGGCCTGCAGGGCCCCTGGTGAGGATATGGGTCCTTCAGGGCCTGCAGGGCCCCTGGCAAGCGTATGGCTCTGCTGCACGGGGCAGGTGCCACCTGGGCTCAGCTGGGTTTCACCTCAGATGAACACTGCTGCTCACACTCCCTACACTGGCCCTCCTGCAGGGTCAGCCACTGCAGGAAAGCCAAGCACCTGGCCATGCAGGAAAGGCTGTGGCCCTCAGCTCACAACACAAGGGGTCCCCGTATGCTTCAAGGAATCCTCTGGCCTCTTGGGACTAAGCATCTGACTCTTGTCATAAACCCCAGGCACCACCCTAACCTACAATCCCGTCCTACACACACCCCACCACTCAGAGGAGCCTGGAGTCGCTACCCGAGTGGGCCTAGCCGCCCTCCATGCAGTACGGGGTCAGGACCTCACTCCGCAACTTTACATCTGTAGGAGTTTGTAAAATTCCCACCCCACGGGTATCCATGGCCCCGCCACTCCACTTCCTAAGCTAAGTGATGCTCCGCCGACAGGCAGGGCCCTGTGCCCAGGCGGTACCCACAGCTTACCTGGGCTGCCGCTGTGTGGTCACTTACAGGCGCCAGCTGGACGTACTGCACCTGAATGTCACTGCCCTGCAGAGGTGACCCGTCTACCCCTGTCGCAGTGGGGTCCGAAGAAGCCACGGCTATCAGCTGGGCCCCCTGCAACACCTAGAGAGAGAAAGGCAGGAAGGTGAGCAGCTGCACACGGCCTGCCCAGCGTGGATGCCACAGCGACCCTGCGCAGCTCTCGATGCAGGCATCTACTTCGGTGAGGTGCAGAATATCCGCACGCCGGACAGAGCCCTGGATGCTTAATTCCTCGGAGAAACAAATGCCAGCACTAACCCAGAACAAGCAAGAGAAAACTGCAGGGCCAGCAGCGGAGGGAAGCCAGGAAGACAAGTGTGTGTCACCAGCAAGCACGCAAGACCTCGCCATGATGAGCGACGTCAAGGCAGAGCCGGGCAGGGAAGGACAGACGGCCAGGAGCGCCGGTCAGCTGCCCTGTGAGCCCAGACCGCTCAGCCCGAGTCCCGAACCCGAGGTCCTCACTGGGGCTCACACTACCTCTCCAGTCCCGCTCTGTGCGCCCGTTAACCCAAGGCCCCAGAGAAGCAAGGGTGTGGCACACGGACAGACCTGCGCCCGTAGCCGCCACTGCCCTGCGAGAGCAGCCATGAGCTGGACTGCTTTCTGAACAACCCTCAATGACCGGAGGAAGCACTTCAATGACCGGAGGAAGTGCTTCCAGGTTTATGGATGGAAAGCATCATGAGCATCCTGTGACCTCTGTGGACACCTGTGTCAGAAGTGGGCAGCCTTGGGTCTGGCACAGTGGCCTAGCGGCTAAAGTCCTCGCCTTGAACACACTGGGCTCCCATATGGGCGCCAGTTCTAATCCCGGCAGCTCCATTTCCCATCCAGCTCCCTGCTTGTGGTCTGGGAAAGCAGTCAAGGACGGCCCAAAGCCTTGGGACCCTGCACCCGTGTGGAAGACCTGGAGGAAGTTCCTGGCTCCCGGCTTCTGGCTCTAGATCAGCACAGCACTGGCCATTGCGGTCACTTGGGAAGTGAATCATCGGATGCAAGATCTTCCTCTCTGTCTCTCCTCCTCCTCTCTGTATATCTCACTTTGCAATAAAAATAAATAAATCTTACAAAAAAAAAAAAAAAAAGGAAGTAGGCAGCCTTGGGGGCAGGGAGGCGGCCATACCAGAAGACAACAGTGACCAGCCCACAGCTTAACTGGCTCTATTGGGTACCCTGCAGCCCGCACTCAAGCAGCTGGGACCCCTCCATCCAGGCTGTCTCTCCCAGCCTGCCGCCAGCTGGCCTGTGCCCCTGTGAGCAGCCAGGTCATGGGGCTGCCAACTGTCCCCTCTGCACACATCCTGATGGCCCTACTGACCTCCACCATCACAGAACAGATGTACAGCAGACAGGAGGCCTGGGCCAACCATGGTAACCCCAACTGCTGGCGCTGGACCCCAGGACGGGTTCATGTGTGAGAGATGTGACTGGGCTCCCACGCTCACTCAGGCTCCGCCCAGGGCAGCCAGCACACATGTGTGCCTGCCCTCAGCAGTTGCCCACCACGCACGGACACAGCACTGCCCAGACCCGCCGCCAAGAGCCAGTTTCCCCAGGAACACAGGACCTGCAGGGCACGGCAGCCCTGGTCTGGTCCAGACCCCTCTTAGTAAAGGGTGAGGCGATCACAGGAGACGAGTACCCCACCTTCTAGGAGCCAAGGAGCAGGAAGCCCAGCTCCACCTCCTGGTGTGGCCTGTAGGCGCAGACCCTCCCAGCCCACGTGGTCTTCGTGACCAACCATACCCCTGAGGAGCAGCAGCTGGGCCTCCAGGTCACGGCTGGGGAGCTGGCCAGGCACCTCGCCTCGCCCTCCAAGCCCCACAGCCCCGGGCACTGGGGTGCTAGCCCACTGCACTCCATTGAGCCGAAGAGAGACAGCTTCAAAGTTCCTGGGTCTCGCTGAAGGAATTCCTGCCCACTGCGACAGCAGCCCGAGTCAGGAACGTTCTGGAAATGATCTACTCACTGTAGCACTGCACAGTCTGGGATTCATGGACTCTCTCACAGCCACACATCGGCCTCCTCTGACACCACGGTTCCACAACCTGTGTCTGGGTCCCGGGAGACCCTTAGGCCACTGCCCATGGAGGGAACACGCGAGGGGACAGCTGGCAAGGTGTGGGACTTAGGAAGGGACACTGTCTACCTCCTCCATGCCAGCAAGCTTGGCAGGCCGATGTTCTGTGTTCTGCCTTTAGAATCACCTGCAGACTTTTGACATAGACCAGTGCTGAGACAACCATGGCCTGATCCCTAGACCCAGAGCTGCTGGTACACCACAGGGACCAGTCCAAGAGGCCACTGACCTTCCCGCCGTGGATGGGATCTCACCCAGGAACCCGCTGACCTTCCTACCGTGGATGGGGTCTCACCCAGGAGGCCAATGACCTTCCTGCCATGGACGGGGAGCCTGCCCAGGAGGCCACTGATCTTCCTGCCATGGATAGGAGGCCTGCCCAGAAGGCCCAGCTAATGTGTGATAGCTGTGACCCTGGATGACTGAGTGCAGGCTGTGAGGCCCTCAGGCATGGCAAGCACTCACCTGGTGGTCGCTGGCTTTGATGACAGAAGGGGTCAAGAGCCACGGGATGCGGGTGGCCTCTAGCAGCTGGAAAAGGCAAGGAAAGACATATTCCCCTGGATCCTCCAGGAGGAACTGGCCTACACATCAGCCATGGGCTCGTGGGGACTGTAGGACTCAGCTCCCGGTTCTGTGGTTCCTGGCCAGAGACCCGGGAACCTCACAGGTTGCTCACCCACTGCTGTAGACCCTGCCTCCTGGGCACAGCAGGGCCACTCAGGCCCTGGTCACCTCCTGGGCACAGCAGGGCCGCTCAGGCCCCGGTAACCTCCTGGGCATAGCAGGGCCACTAAGGCCTTGTCACCTCCTGGGCACAGCAGGGCCGTTCAGGCCCCGGTCACCTCCTGGGCACGGCTGGGCTGCTTAGACCCTGGTCACCTCCTGGGCACGGCTGGGCCGCTTAGACCCCGGTCACCTCCTGGGTTCAGCATGGCATGGCCACTCAGGCTCCTGCCTCCTCCTGGGCACAGCATGACTGCTTGGGCCTTGGTTACCACCTGGGCACAGCAGGGCTACTCAGGCCCTGGTCACCTCCTGGGCACAGCAGGGCCGCTCAGGCCCCAGTCACCTCCTGGGTTCAGCATGGTCACTCCAGCCCCTACCTCAAAGTCTACTGCAAAAATGTCACCTGGCACAGAAGCAAAGCTGGGAAGAGGCAGATGTAGACAGGAGACAAGCCCACTCCTCTCGCTGTAACCAAGCGCAGCCTGTCAAATTTCCGGATATCGGGAAACATCACAGGAAAAACGCACCGTCTCCCAGCTCACTTGGCCCCTTCCCCCGGAACGCTTCACACGAGCAGAGGATGCTGGGGTGCCGGCTGCTCCAGAGCCACTCTGGTCCGGTTGTGGTCAGTGTCTCAGGAATGTGAGGTACATAAGACGGGAAGAAAGTGCTTTCCGGCTGCAGCCATGAGCCCTTTCCTTCATGGACTGTCAGAGGACACTGGCCGGGTGGTGCTGGGCAGCCCCCACAGCAGCTATCTATCCGCAAAAGCTTCTGCCAGCGGACAGCAAGAGGAGACGAGCTTCCCATCCGCTCTTCAGCATGCTCACAGCAAACACGTGACGCGTGGAGTCTTGCTAGAGTCGGACGGCCGTCGGAGAGGGAGGTGGCAGTGGCGCTGGGAGCAGGCGGCTCTGTGGTCGGACCTTGCGGCCCCATCGGTTGCACACACTCCCACGGCGGCCTGGTTTGCTCCGGGGACACTGCAGGGCACAGAAGCAGGTTTCCCGGGACGAAGGCGCATGCGTCAATCAGTTCACCAGTGCTTGTCCATGAGGGAAAGCTGCCACACACAGCCAAGATGTTGAGAGCTGAAAGACACCCACAGCAGCCAGGTGGGAAACACTCGGCGGCAGGCACAGTGGCCAGAGCGAATCCAGGCTGGCAGGAGATTCCTGCCCACCATGGGCCTTTTCTTTTAAACCAGGTGAGGTCTGCATGATGAAGTAACATCACGCTAACTCAGCAACGGCTTGGAGTCGGATGACCAAGCCACAGTCCAAGGGAAACAGAACATTCCAGAACACGTACTCAGTCCACCGTAGCCAGGCTGATCTAAGTCTTAGCCCTCTGCTTCTGACCCGGCTTCCTGCTAACGCATCCTGTAGCTTAGGGCTCAAGTGCACACGGGAGAATTGGATGGAACCCAGGCTCCTGCTTCTGCCCAGCCCTGGCTGCTGTGGCCATTTGGAGAAGGTACCAGCAAAGATCTGTCTGCTGATTCTCTGCCTTTCAAGTGTATGAAAATAAATAATAAACAGAAGAGCACTGGACACTCCACAGCCCGGGGCGCACAGGGCTGGGGCCAGGAGTGTGGCTCCTCTCCTGAATCCCGTCAGCCTGTGGACAGGACAAGCGACTTGTGTCAAAGTCAGGAGCAAAGCGTGCCACCAGTGCCATCCCGTGAGCCTCTTCCGCCAGCCCTGCTGTGCTGCTGACCTGATGGCACCCCGCGGCACAGCACTGGCCAGTTCAGGCTGCAAGTTGAACACACAAAATGCAGCCTTGCTACCTTGACCATGACTTGGCTCCCAAACTCGGAGGTACTGAAGTGCTAAGATCGGAGCCGACCGGGCTTGAGGCCTTCTCTGCTCCTGCCTCCACTGTCCTGACCGGAGGCCAAATCAACAAACCACTGACCTGGAACCTGGACTCCCAAGACAGCAGGCTAACACAAATGTCTCTTCATGAAGTCAGTTGCCTCGGGTATTCCGCTGTAGCAACACAAAGCTGACCTCAACCTACTCGTGGGTCCAATCTGCAGGGCAGGGCGGCAGGAACCAGGGACACCGCCCACCACGGCCGACGGGACACGCGAAATCCGATCAGCTCCTGGCTCTGCTGATGGCTCAGGCTCCAAGCAGGAAAGGAAAGTGACGGCTGACAAGGGCACTGGGGACACTCAGAGCAATGACCGGCCACCTCCCTACCCTCCTCTGTCCCGCTGGTCTCCTGTTTATGCCAGAGCCTACCCCACAGGCCTCCCCACACAGTGCATACAGCCTGCAAGCACCTCTAACTGGATGGGACGGAGGCGGTTTCCAGGCCCGGCTGGCCTGTGGCTGAGCTAAGCTGGAGGGGATGTCCCAGAGGCCCGTGCATGGTCCCGGAAGCACCTGCTGTGGCCCTGGACCCTCGGCGGCTTCATTCAGAGGCTTGGAGGGCTCCCCCTAGACCACGGCTAGACAGAAGAGATGGAGCAAAGGCAGGGATCCGGAGCCGCCACTGCTCCTGCCAGGGAAGGAGGGGCCAAGTCAGGTGGGGTGCATGAGATCTGCACAGGGAGGCGACCGAGAGAAGCTTGGGAAACTCCTCTGCCAGGTGAGCACAAGAACCAAGGCTGGGAGCAACCCAGACCAGACCAGGTTAATGTGCCCACCGCCACATGTGTGGTCAGGTCTGGGGGAGGACAGTCTGGCCCAGTTCACAACAGCCACTGGCAAATCCAAGAACCAGGAACGGTGTGGGACAGGCTGGGTTGGGCCGCAGAACCAGCCAGTCCATATTAGGGCTGGGACTCTGGGCAATCCAGGCTGGGATAGGCTGAGCACCTGCTGGCAAACACCAAGGTGGGGTAAGCCACGTCAGACTGGGCTGCAGGACCCAGCAGCATATGCGAGATGGGGTGGTGTGGGGGGGGGGGAAGGACTCCCCTGCTGGGCCACTGTTCCCATGCTGGTGAGCTTAAGAACTGGGACAGGGGACAGACCAGGCTGGACAGGGCTACAGAGTCCGCTGGCCTGCGTGTGAGCTGATTTAGGGGGACGGACCAGGATGGACAGGGCTATAGAGCCCATTGGCCTGCGTGTGAGCTGATTTAGAGGGACAGCCAGGCTGGGCTAAGCGACCATATCTACCAGGGTATGGGTGAGCCAGAGTAAGTACAGGCTGGTTGGGCTTTGCAACAGCATGAACTGACAAGTGATGGGACTGGGGGCAAGCCCTGTCAGGCTAGGCTGCAGAACCACCGGGAAAGTACAAGATCCAGGGCTGGGAGTGGGACCAGCAGGGAAACTGCGGGCACCTTCCTGATGGGCTGCAGCTCCCACTGGTGAGCACAAGAACCAGGGTTAGGGTGGACCTGGCTGGACAGGCGGTAGTGCCCACCAGCATAAGTGTGGGTTGGATTGTTGGCTGGGCTGGGCTGAGCTAGGCGGCAGCACCCATTGGTGTGTGAATGGGATGTAGGACAGACTGGACCAGTCTGCTGCACATACTGGCATGTGCAGAAACCAGGGCTGGAAGTGGGCCTAGTGGGGGTGCCGGGGGTCACTCCAACTGGGCTGCAGTTCCCACTGGTGTATGTAAGGGCCAGTGTGTGGTAGGCAGGGCTGGGCTGGGCCGCAGCAGCCATTGGTTTGCATAAGAGATAGAGCTGGAGACAGAACTGATCCAGCAGCTGTGAACAGCGGTTATGTGTGTGTGCAGGCTGATGAGGGCAGCACGTGGAGCTGGACCCTGAGTGCTGACAGTGCATATCTGGGCAAATGGTGGAGCAATGAAATCACAGCATTTCAGAACCTTCAAAACCACTTGAGCAGAACCCTTGGCGCAAGCTCCAAATCAGGTGCCTGGGGATGACACTGGGTGGCAGTTCCTCATCCCCAGGCACTGACGGCTAGGGATGGCTTCTCCCTTCCTCTCCCCGACTTCCCCAGAAACAGAAAGAAAAGAAGAAAATTGGATACAATGATCTCATCCATTACCCCCATTCCTCGACTCTTCCCAGCGGTCCACACGGGCATGCGGCCTTAAACTATGTAAACACCATCAAAATAAAAGTCAAAATCAATTAATTATAGCCTCACATACAAAAAAAAGAAAGAAAGAAAAAGAACGAACGAACAAGTGAACTGGCTTCTGCCGGGCTGGCCAGGCCTCAGCCTCAGGACGCATGGCTTGCCGGAAGCCGCTGTGGCTTTTTGCAATTCTGCATGTCCTCGGCCCTGACTCTGCTCCTAGGAGGGACCCCCTGTGCTGCTGCGAGACCATCAGGTTAAAACCTCACCTCACAGGGCCCAATTCATATCCTAGCTGCTCCACTTCCCCTCCAGCTCCCTGCTTGAGGTCTGAGAAAGCAGTGGAGGACAGCCCAGAGCCTTGGCGTGGGAGACCTGGAGGAGGCTCCCGGCTCCTGGCTTCACACTGGCTCAGCTCCAGCTGCTGCAGCCACAGGGGGAGTGAACCAGCAGATAGGTCTTTTTTTCTGTCTCTCCTTCTGTAAATGTGACTTTCTGATCGAAGTAAGCAAATCTTTAAAAATAAACAAAAGCAGCCCTGTGGGGGCACTAACTCCATGGGCCTGCCTTCCCTCCCCGTGTGTCCCGGCGCAGGGCCTGGTCAGAGCCCAGTGAGTAGCGTGGGCGAGAACAGGGCGTCATTCTGTGCCGTGAGTGGGCACCAGTGTGTGTCCCTCACCACCACTCGCAGGCTTGGGTTCATGCAGGGAAGGTTTCTAGATACCCCAACAGATCTGAGGCGACACAAGTCCCCATGACAAACTGCTTTCCAAACAAGAGGGAGACAGCGTTCGGAGCCTCCACACCAGGATGCCACCATTGGGCAGCACCCTCCTGAAGCCCTGATGGGTGGCACAGCACAGTGACACCTCCGGCCACACCCCTTCCTGTCTCAGAACAGAAGAAAAGCAGGTGGTCTGGGCTGGACACCAACACAAGAGGACAAACCCACCTTGCTCGAACACATGCCGCCCTGTGCAAATACAACCACTAGAACGCTCACAGGGCACACAGGGACCTGTGACAAGTGTGGGGGTGTCCCACCCAGGAGCACTGGGGTGCCCCACTCCACCCTGCACAGACTCCAGGCACACAGCACTCACCTGCCCGTCCTGGCCCACATGGTGGATCTGCAGATTGCCCTGTGGGGGAAGCAAAGACAATGAGGAAGGAAGAAGATTCAGGTAGACCCTCTTGGGGAGCCTTCCTTGCAGCCTGTGCCACGAAGCAGCTTTGGGGATCCCCCCAATCCCAGCCTTCAGCAAAGGTGGGACAGTGATTGGCCAGTAGGCCACCGGCGGTGACGGCTCAGCCCCTGGCAGTGGGCAGCAGGCCTGCAGGGCAGATGGCAGCAGACAGCAGGCCCCCAGCCTTGCGGCCTCACACCTCCTGGGCAGCTCTGTGCTGCACGTGTTCGGTCTGGTAATAAAGGCGTAACACCAGGCAAGGCAAGGATGGGCTGTCCCAACACTGCACATTTCAACTCGTCTCAGAGTAATCATTCATGCCAGCAGCCATTTCTTCTCAGTTACTAAATTCGTAATAGAATTCTGTGCACAGGACGGACCCCGTTTGGATAACACAAACAGAACTACGAGTCACACACTGAATCCCAGCGGTCTAGTGAGGTCTACGAATCCCCTCACTGGGCAGCTCTGCCCCCCAAGACAGAGCCCCTGGCCGACTCCACCTCCAGCTGCTCCTTGCTGGGGTCCGTGCGGTGGGTGTGGAGGACACGGAGGTGTGACGAGAACGGTCCCGCTGCAGGCAGGGCTGCGAGGACTCTCCCGCCGCACGGCAAGGCCGGCGGATGGCTCTGCATCCACCTGAAGGCAGTTCCACCTCTGCTTGGACAGCAGACAACCTCACTGGGATTTCTGTAATCTGATCAGGAATTGTCTGCCACTGCCGAGTTGGCCTTTACTATCAATGTGAGCTTGGAAGTTGATGCTGCCCTTTACTATTCGTGCCGTCTCCGCTGCCCCCACTGACCATATGCTAATCAAGGGTGTCAAGTCCCAGGTGTAGTGGGAATCTGTTCTTTCCCTCTTTCCTTGATCTTTAGGTCCCTCCTCCTGTGATGCACGTCCTCCCTTAACTGATTCAAGACGGAGCTGTAGAATGAGGATTGCAGTAGGAATGTGTTACTGGTTGATGTGTGCCATTATTGAGAACGGCTGATATCCTGCCTCGAGGGGAAATGACTGGCAGAACTATCCTTAGGAATGCCCGCTTGACAGGTGTGATGACTCAGTGCCAGCCTTTGTGAAGAGCACAGCTTTCTCACACTGTCCTTATGGTCCTGAAACTGTAGTGGTCCGTTTCTTTTCTACGCCTACTCCACGCACCTTTCTCGAGCACCGAACTCGGCTGGAGCTGGACTCCGACAGTCCTCAGATGTGAACTGGCCCTGACTCCTGACAGGTGCTGTGACATAACTCCACTCACATGGGGTGCTGGGAACACTCCGCCCCATACACCCGCGTGGGCCTTCAGCCTCCTGCAGAGCCAGACCCGCCTGTCCTCCGAGCTGGCCTGCTGCCATTCCTGCTCCTCGCACTGCAACCAGACTCCTGGGCATTCTCTCTCCCCTCTGGGGTCATGCACCCTTCACCTGACCTGTCCACCTCCAGCCCCCGTGCTGACTACTCCTCTGCTGAGGACACGCCTCCCGTGCCATCAGATGCCAGCCTGGGAAGCCCTCCCCAGCATCTTGCGCCCTGCAAGCACAGCACCTCGCTGCCCTCCAGTGACTGCGGTGTGACCCTCTGGCCCTCAGCCTCCACTGCCCTCACAGGGCCCTGCAGTACAGCAGCCGGGCTGTCCGACAAGGGCCCTGTCAGAGCTGGGGGCGACGGCGCTCCAGGACTCACCTCGCTGTCCTGCGTGATCTGCACCTGCTCCCCCTGCGGCACCTGGGCAATGTGGAGGTGTCCCTGTGGGATCCGCAGCAAGAGAAGACACCAAGAAGCATCAGAAGAAAAACGAGACCAGAGGACACCCGCGACAGGTTCTGGAAGGTTCCTGGAGGACCACCAGGCCCCCCGAGGGTGTAAGACATGCACTCAGGGCTGAGCTGTGGCGTGTATGATGTGGCATGGCCTGTGCAAGCCAAACTCACGCACATGCCCAGTGACTCCCCAGGGACGGTCTGAGCCTGCACATGACTCAATAAGCAAATCTGAGAATGCAAATTCGACCCAGAAACATAATGTTAGATGATGACTTCTGTTTCAAACTACACTTCCCACTGCGAGGGACTAAAAGCCCAGTGGGAATCCAGAGGCTCCCGGCTCTCCGAGGACACTGGCAGAGGGCCACAGAGGGCAGCGGTCCATGCTGAGAGCAGGCCAGCAAGCTTCCAGACCACGGGAGCATTACACACTCATAAATGGGACTCCAACGAAGTCAAAGAGCCCAATTACAAAGTGACTCCTGCTTCACTGATATCATCAATTTTTATACACCTGAACTTGGCTAAATGAAATGAAGACTCGTTACCTTACTTAAATTCATCACAATGGATCTCAAACTTCCACTGTTGTACTCTTTCACTCAACCATGTGTATGGAAACTACATCACAGCTCACTGTCCCGGGACTCCTCGGAGAGCTTCCCTTCTAACCAGAAGCGAAAAGCCCTGGGGCTGCTTCCTGGGACTCATTTCCAGGGAAGCAGCACCCCTGGGCCAGGGTGTCTCCTCCCCACAGAGGACGCCTGCCTGCGCCCACCCCCCCACGGGCCTGTGAATGTGTCAATGAAAGGGTACATACTACTTGGACCTGTCCGTCCTCTCCGATCTGGTGGATCTGCACCTGCTGTGCGTTGGCCAGGGTGTAGTGCAGGGCCTGTGGCTGCGGCTGCAAGGGCTCGCTGGCAGCTGGCGGGGAGCCCATCATGGTCTCTGCGGAGAAGTCACACCATCACGCCACCACCACACGCTGGGCAGCAGGAAACCCTCCCGACCCCAAGGAACCCAGCTGCCGGGAACCCCTTCCTGCCGCAAGAACTTCAGAAATGAAGGAAGTTCCTTAGGATCATCCAGAGAAAACGTAAAGGAGTGAGGCTGAGCCGTCCCACCCCACAAAAGCGAGAGCCGCCTGTGGCTGACTGAACCCGGGGCAGGGCAGCCCCAGCGCAGCACAGGCCTTGCCAACAAGTTGATTTGTGTTTAAACAAAACGAGTTATGCATTCTTAATGGATTACACTCCAATTTTAACTGCAATGATAATAAGAATTCTCATAAATGCTTAAATGTTCCGGTGCACACACATTTTTATTGGAGAGAATGACTAAGCAAAAACTGTTAGGTGTAAAGATACATTAAAATGGAAGAGAACAATCAAGGCTGCTGGCCTGTCTGGGCCAGGGAGAGCAGCCACCTGCTAGACTGCCCTCAAGCCTCGGGGACACTGACCGCAGGGCTGCTGCCCTTACGCAAAGGCTGGCTGTGGCCATTTCTTCTCAGGGTCTGGGGACATTTGGCCACTATCAGTAGGAGCCACAAGAGCTGTGCACGTGACCCTGGCCCCCACGCAGACCTGCCCCACCCAGGGCCCAGCTGCACGTGTGCCCACACGTCTCCACCTGTTCCAAGAGCTCGTGCGACACCTGCAGCTCACAGTGTCACCTCCAAGACCCTCAGCCTCCCCACCATCTAGACTTGAAGGCCTCGTCGCTCTGTGACAGGTTCCTACAACCTTCCAGCCCGACTCTGCCCATCTGATGTGAGAAACACACATCACCAGATCAACGTCCAGGAGTCAACAGAAAGTACACAGGGAACCCCTCCCTTTTTAGCCTCCACCTCTCCTGGCTAGGTTCTTTTGCCCTTAGGCCTTCAGACACATTCCACTGATTCCTCCATGTCCTGGCATGTTGCAGCCAGGCAGGGAATCCTTCCACTGACTGCTTCTCGGGGCAGAAGTCACATTTTCTGCTGGACACTGTGGATTTCACTCTGTTCCTTTTCTAGTCTGCCCACTTTGTGGTTGGTGTGAGCTCTCCGCACCAGTGAAGCAAGCTGCCCTCACCCCAGGGCACAGACAGCAGCCTCATTCAGAGGCAGCCCCCCAGGAGCCCCTCCCGTGCCACAGTCACCATACGTATCCTCAGGGCTGACGGCAGACACGGGCAGCACAGCCTGCGTCCCACACAGCACCTACCGGGTCTGAGCCACACCCCCAGTGCCCGAGAATGCAGACCTTCTGTGTGCCAAGCCCACGCCATGCCCTCCAGTCCACCTGTGGGCCCACCTGAGGCACTGTAGGAGGAGGAGGAGGGCGTTCTCCGTGAAAAGCTCTTGACTGCCAGGCTCTGACCTCGCTGCTTCCGCCGCCATGCCGTCCGGCACTTGGAGTCGATGCTCTGTTTGATTCGGTACCAGTCGGATTCTGTGATCCCAAACTTGTAGAACAGGTGACCTGAGGGGACGTGAGGAAAGGCCTCGAACCCGGGACGCTTGGGAGGAAGGCGCACAGCAGGCAGACCCTGCCCTCCCGGACAGACACCCACACGGGGACAAACCAAAGCACACGTTCACGTCCTGTGACCTGCTCTCCCAGCCCTGCGTGGCCCTGGGGGCCCTGGGGGCCCCCAGGGGCCCAGTGTCTGCCTCTGCTCCCACATCACAGGCAGCACTCAGGGCCAGCTGTCTAGGGTCGAGAAGTTTTCCCCTCACCAACCGGCTCAGCTCATCTATTCAGGCTGCCAGGCTTCCTCGAGCCAGGGCTTTGCCAACACCCAGGCACCCAGGTGCCTGAGGGAGGGAGTTAGGGTGGCAGCTTACTCCACCACGCCCCCTGCCAGCCCCAACGAGGAACTTCCCCAGTTGGTCCACACAACTGATTAACAGGAAAACAAGTGGATAAAGTCTTACATTTTAATAACAGAAATATTATGCTGAAAAACTTCCTGTTTTGACTACTAGGAGTACTGAGCTTGGACCCTCTACTGGGAGTTAAATTACTGCCCAAGCCCTTAAAATTCTCTGGTTATTAAAAACAAAACAGCAAAAAGAACCCAAACAAAGGAAGTGTTTGTTTCAAAGTAATACATGAAATATCAAAGTCTCCTTTGTTTGGGCTCTTCCTTTAACATGTACTTGACCCTGAAACCCCGAATAGGGGCATCTCTGTCATCTAGAGGAAGAACAGGGTGAAGGGGGCAGGCTGAGGGCGAGGAAGAACAGTGCCTGGGAGCAGGGCTCCTGGACCGCCGTCCACCTCACATGCTAAGCGAGAGCTCATGGTATGGGCACCTGTTTGACCAGAACGACCAACTGCTTGTTTGATTTATTTATTTATTTATTTTATTGGAAAGATTTACAGAGAGGAGGAGAGACAGGAAGATCTTCCATCTGCTGATTCACTCCTCAAGTGGCCGCAACAGCTGGAGCTGAGCTGAGCTGAGCTGACCAGAAGTCAGGAACCAGGAGCCAGGAGCCTCTTCCAGGTCTCCCACACCGGTGCAGGGTCCCAAGGCTTTGGGTCGTCCTCCACTGCTTTCCCAGGCAACAAAGCTGGATGGGAAGCAGGGCTGCTGGGATTAGAACCAGCGCCATATGGAATCCTGGCGTGCTCAAGGCAAGGACTTTAGCTGCTAGGCCACCGCACAAGGTCCCCGACCACCTATTAACACAGGCCCAGTGACTGGCTGAGGGGCTGGTGTCCCCAAATATGAAAAGCTCTCCTTTGGATCGGCACAACAGCCTAGTGGCTAACTCCTCACCTTGCAAGCACCACAATATCAAGTGGATGCCAACAGCATCTCAGCTGCTTGGGCCTTATGCAGTAGCCTAGTGGCTAAAGTTTCTGCCATGCAAGCATCTGGATCCCATGTGAGCACCAGTTCTAACCCCAGCAGCCCCACTTTCCATCCAGCTCCCTGCTTGTTGCCTGGGAAAGCAGCTGAGGACGACCCAAAGCCTTGGGACCCTGCACCCGTGTGGGAGACCCAGAAGAGGCTTCTGGCTCTGGCTTCAAATGGGCGTAGCTCCAGCCATTGCGGCCACTTGGGGAGTGAACCGACAGACAGAAGATCTTCCTCCCTGTCTCTCCTTCACTCTATATGTCTGCCTTTCCAATAAAAATAAGTCTTTAAACAAACAAACAAACAAAATCTCCTTTGGAACAGTCCTGTATGGAAAAGCTGGGTGGAGGTGGGGTCAGGAGCCATCCCTCTGGCTGGCAGGGTGGCCGTGACTTCTTCCCATCTCTCCCCTCCTCCCAGATACAGCAAGGAAAGAGAGAATGTGGAACAATGGTCTCACCCACCTTCCTGTAGCCCTTGACCCTCTGAGCCCTAATCAACTAGGTAAAGATCATCAAAAAAAAAAAAAAGGCACCCCAGATTCTCCGGGTGGGGGTGTTAAAGCCGTCCCTGGTTCTCCGGCGGGGGGGGTGGTGTTAAAGCCGTCCCTGGTTCTCCGGCGGGGCGGGGGGGGGGGGGTTAAAGTCATCCCTAGTTCCTTCCATATTTTTGCAAGTAAAGAAGAAAATGTTCAAGTATCTGCAGAAAAGGGTAAGATTATACAATCTTCATTTAAATATGTTAAAAGCTAAAAATAAAATGCGGGCATTACAGATGTAACAAATGACCAAAAACATTAACATTTAAATTTGAATTTGTAAAAAATCAATCAGCCAGTTCAAAACCTGGCTTATATCTTTTAGAGCAAAAATGCATATTTATTTAGTTATACATGATCCACTTTTCAATTCTCCTAAGACATCGTGTTACACAACTCCTTCCAAAAGCAGCCCAGAGTTCCCACTCGATGCTAAATGCCGCCCATACTGCAGCCAAGACAAACCCATGCTTCAGCAGCAGCCTTCCCCCACAGCAGCAGCTGTGGCTTGGGCAGCCAGGCCTGGGGGCCCTGAGCGCGCTCTGCCCTGGCATCACCTGCACCTGGCCAGCCGGGCACCAGGGCCCGGGCGCTGCAGCCCGAATGTGGCCGTCTCTGACCTCTCCAACCCCCTCCCCCGCCTCTCTCACAGTACCCAGCAGCCTCAGCTGGACTGGCTGAGCTGGAAAACCTTATCAGGCCATGATAAGAAGATTACCTCGAATGCCAACGCATTCTGGGCCATGTGTTACTCGATAAGCAGAAAAACCTCAAGTTTGGTTTTGAAGTTGAAGCCAAGAGGCAAAGCCAGGATTCCCAGAGCCCACCCACCTAGAGGAAAAGTGGCCTCACCAAGTGACCCTTGCCACACGCGAAGACCAAGGAGACAGACTCAGGCAGCCCCGGAGAGTGGGCCCGTGGATGCCACACAGGCTCACAGCACAGCCCTGGCTGCTGCACGCCCACGGCAGCAGGCACAGTGCACCTGCAGCAGCTTCCAGGTGCCACTGGCCTCAAGCCAAGAGGACACCGACCCCAAGGTGCCAATACCTGTCTCAACTGGACAACAGAGTGTTGGCGGCACCTTCCATGGGCACGCCCAGAGTGCTCCATCATATCTCCTTGAGGCCTGCCTGCACCCCCTTCCTGGCCAGCTACCTGGAGCCCCGGGGGCAATGCCCACCACGGTGCTGGGCAGCACAGGGCTATCAGCACAAGGCTGGAAGCCTGACAGCTGTGAGGGACAGCTCAAGTTCCAGAGGAAAGCAAGTGCCAACAATTTATTTCTTGAAATTACAGACTCGATTTGATAGCAACTGGCCTAGGGAAACCAAAGGGACCTGGCCAACAAGCTCTCCCCAACAGTGGGGTCAGCACGGTGGGCATGCGCCAACAGTGGGGTCAGCACGGTGGGCACTGTGCCACAGTACTGTGTCCAGAGGACGCCTCCAGTGCCTCCACCCTGCCAGCGCTGCAACAGAGTGGGTCAAGCTGCTACCTGCTCCGCAGCATCCCACATGGGTGCCTATTCTACTTGGTTGCTCCACTTCCCATCCAGCTCCCTGCTGGGGACTAGTCCAAGGGCTCCTGCACCCATGTAGGAGACCTGGAGGAAGCTCATGGCTCCTGGGTTGGGCCTGGCCCAGCCCTAGCTGTAGTGGTCATTTGGGGAATGAACCAGCGGTTCAAAGATCTTCCCGTATGTAACTCTGCTCATCAAAGAGAGAAAGAGAGCCAATGTGCCCAATGCCAGCAGCCAGGTCCCTGCTGAGGGGCCTGTGCAGGAGAGGAGGGCACTCAGACCCTTGGCAGCCAGCCAGGTGTGGGGGACAGGAGGCCTCTGCTCCCCTCGTCTCACTGGCAGTCTCAGGACGTGAGGAAGGGTCTCGCGTACATCTCAGAGAGGAAACACTGAACCCAGAGTCCCTGCACTGCCGCCAGCATGGGGCCCATGGCTCCCAGCTGAATGCCCAGCACGCTTACATCGGATGCCGTAGATGGTGAGCGGGTCGAGCTGCTTCTTGCCGTGCTTGCCCTGTCCTGAGAGGTTAGACACGGCCTGCACCTCGCGGTGGAAGAGGTAGTCGAGCAGTGTGAGTGCCATCTTCTCGGCCGTGCGGCAGTTGGTACTGATGTGCAGCATGTCGGAGGGGATGATGGCACAGCGCACCCGCATCTCAGGGTTGTTCTCGTCGCCCAGCCACGTGCCGTTGGGGTAGTCCTCTAGAGGAGAGGGAGAGCTTTGGGTCATCAAGAGGTTCGGGTGGAGGGGTAGAACCCGGACAGCATACAGGAGGCCTCGCTGCTCCGGGGGCAGCTGTATGTGTGCCACCCCCCCATGTCCGCCTTGGGAAGGGCACCACCAGCCGAGCCTTGTGCCTCCACGCCACACACAAGGCTGCCGTCCACGGGAGCTAAGTCACCTGCTGATCTAGTAACCCCATGCCTGGGCAAGCTGTGGCCACTGGTGAAAACCCAGCAGACTCAGCAGGTGGCTGTGGTCCAAGTTCACCATCAAGTCTGGAGGTAATGTCAAACAGCTACCCTGCAATGTTTTTGTGCTGGCCACACCAGTGCAGAGACTGAGAAACATCCCAACCCATCTGCTTGTTTGCTGTCCAGCTCATGTGTGGACAGGAGGGGAGCTCAGCACCCCCATGAGCCTGTCTCCCCAGGGAGCCCCAGCCTCAAGGATGAGCGCAACATGCCTGTCTGGGCGGCACCTGCCTACTCCAGGGTCGCCACAGGAAGGCCACAGGTGGGCTCTGCCAATGCCACACACCCATGGCCTTGGTCCCAGGAAGCCAGGAGCACAGGATCTGGTGTGACCATAAGGCCGGGCACTGGTGGCCTGGGTGCCAGGGACGGGGGTGTGGCTGCAGCACAAGGCAGAGGCAAGTGGATGGGGATCCTGCCTCCCACCCCACGCTCCACACTGGGACGGCACTGTGGAAGGAAAGCCAAGGTCAGGCAGAAGCATGGACTGGTCCTCACACCCACACATTCCTGGGGCCAAATGCGTGGCCAGTCCAGTCATCACCGACAACTTCCCTGGCCCCCTCGGTGAGATCCAGCTCCTGAGGCCCAGCATGCACACGCCCTCCTCCCCGTCCCTCTGGAATAACATCAGCAGGGCCCAAGCCAAGGGGCATCCCAGTGTGTCTCAGGCTGCACTTGGAACTGCCCAGACATCCAGCATGGGGAGCCACTCTGCTGTGCTATCCCAGAGGCACCTGCCCCTGCACTGCAGGGTCCCCTTGGCATCTGAGACCTGGGCCCACCCAGGCTTCCTTGCTTCCTCCTCCATATTTTTTTCTCTAGAACCTGCTCCTGGCGTGGTCACCCAAAGGCAATGGTCTGTCGCTCCCAAGGACGAGCCCGCACCAACTCTGCAGGCGGACTCACTGCCACACTGCTGCGTGGCCGGCTCAGCACACGCCTCTTCACTGACGTCCCGGCAGCAGCATCACCTCGCACGACTCCCCAGAGAGCCAGAGTTTCACGGGCTCATTCTCCCAGCTGAGGCTGTGCCTGCCCCACAGCCCAGCCCAGCCCAGGAGGACCCAGGAACCCACACACTCAGTGCTCCGGTCCACTAGCTATGATGCAAGGACAGACAGTACAAAGAATCTTTCTGGGGCTGGCATCATGATGTATCAGGCTAATCCTCTGCCATCCCATATGGATAATGGTTTGAGTTCCAGCTGTTCCACTTCCCATCCAGCTCCCTGCCTCTGACCTGGGAAAGCAGTGGAGGATGGCCCAAAGCCTTGGGACCCTGCACCTGCGAGGGAGACACAGAGGAAGTTTTGGACTTGGGATCAGCTCAGATCAGGCTTGGCAAGCCTTGTTCTGGGCTCCCGGCTGTGGAGGACACTGGGGGAGACAGCCAGCAGACAGAAGACCGCCCCCTCACTGTCACTCTGCCTTTCAAAGAAAATAAATAAGTCTCTAAAGCAAACTATTGTTCAAAAGGCAAGTCATTAATATAAACCATTTCGAATTCCTGAGAAGCAACAGCACTGTGAGAGAGCAGCTGAGGCCTTGCAGACAGCCCGGGGCCACCGCGCCTGACCAGAGCCCGGCTCCAGAGCCCAGCTCCCGGGGGCCACCGCGGGCCTGCAACCAGCACGGGGGTGCAAAGTAACCACTGCCACAGAAACAATCTAGAACTCAGTGGAAATGGTGAGCACAGAGAAAACCACGGAAACAAATGCTTTACAGCGTCCGTTTACAGGCCAGTGCTGGGCTGGCTGCGAAGGCTCTGGGCGGGAGATTCCCACCCCACATCAACAGTGCCCAGTGCCAGCAGGCTCCACCCTGGGGCCCAGCTTTCTCCAAAAACACACTTGAGTCGGGGAGGCAGCAGGGGACACCCCAGTCCCCACGTGACAGCTTTGGGGAATAAGCCAGGGGAGGCAGTCTCTCCATTTCTGCCTCTCAAGTAAATAAAATAAATGATTTTAACAAAAAATTCCACCCCTCCCAACCCAGCCACGTCAATGCAAAGAATTTAAATTAGAAGTGAAAGTAGCAGGCCCAGCGCAGTAGCCTAGTGGCTAAATCCTCGCCTTGCATGCAGGATCCATATGGACGCCAGTTCATGTCCCGGCTGCTCCACTTCCCCTCCAGCTCCCTGCCTGTGGCCTGGGAAAGCAGTCGAGGACGGCCCAAAGCCTTGGAACCCTGCACCCGTGTGGGAGACCCAGAAGCAGCTCCTGGCTCCTGGCTTCGGATTGGCACAGCTCCGGCTGCTGCAGCCACTTGGGGAGTGAACCAGCAGATGGAAGATCTTCCTCTCTGTATCTCCTTTCTCTATATATATCTGCCTTCCCAATAAAAATAAATAAATCTTAAAAAAAAAGAAATTTTTAAAAAAATACAAGCAATGACTCACCAGGGGGAAGAGAAAGGCTCCTGGCTCCTGCTAGCTCAGATGGCAGCGGCCGAGGCTGGCTCCGGGAGGCCTTGCCTGCCCACCCCAGCCAAGTCACTCATAGGGAACCGCACAGGCTACTGGCAGAGCCAAGCAAGGGCCAGGGGGCGGGAAGCTTCTGGCCACAGCCCCTCGCAGGATGGAGGAGGGCACACCGCTGGGAGCGCAGGCCGCCCTGACCTGCCCACTCCTGCCCGCACTCAGTGGGAGGCGGCGGGGCAGCTGGTACCATGAACCCCAGACCAGCAGTGCAGCCTGCATGCCTACCCCTAGACGTCGGTGAGACACGGAGCCCAGCCCCAGGAGGCAGCGAGTCACACAGGCTGACGATGGCTACATGAATCTGCAAGACTGTCCTGTGCAGAGGGCGAAGTGAGCTCCCGAATGCCCGGTGCCCACCTCACTCCACCCCATCCCCTTCTCCTCCAATTATTTCCGAAAAGCAGCGCAGGCTCCTACCTTCCGAGTTCAAGGTGATCAGCGTGACGTTGTTCCCGATGCTCTGGCTGCCCGGCTGGCCGCAGGTGGACACAGAGTCACTGGCCTCCGAGCCGCTCTCCCCGTCCTCATTGTGGCTGTCCTCCTGGCCGGGCACCTTCACCACGATGGTGTTCTGCCGACGCCCAGGAACTGCACTGTGGGAACAAGCACGCAGGCGGGGCTGTGAGGGGGCCTGGCCGAGTGGGCAGGGCTCAGCTTGGCCCCGGCCGCGAGCAGGAGCTAGCTACACGTGGACCACACTGCTCTGTCTACAGTAGACTCAAAGCAGATCAATGTATAGTTAAGCCGCTTTTATCACACAGGAAATGAAGCCACCACTCACTGGGCTGGGCCTGGAAAGCTGCCACTCAGCCGGAGCTACTTGAACAAGAGCGACTTCTAGGGCTGGGTCCCAGAGAAGCATCCCAGGCTGCACAAAATACCCAGACGGCTCAGCACGCCGCCAGCATCCACTGTGGTGGGCCCCGAGAGCCAGCCGCAAGTCCAGAGAACTCCCAGGAGCCACCTCACAAGCGTGCTGCTGGGACACAGCAGCCAAACCCTGGCCCTCCTGACAAGGCTCACAAAGACTCCCTGCCGACTGCCCAGCACCAAGACAGCGAAGAGCAGCTATGGGACCGGGGGTGCTGCCCAGGCCGCCGTCAGGCAGCCCTCGCCTGCTCCTGACCCTGAGGGAGACACATCTGCCCCGGCCCTCCACCTGCGGCGACCCCCTCTGACCGGCTTCTTCCTGCCCCACACTCTCCAACCCTTCCCCTCGCACCAGGCCCTTGGGGCTCCCCCAGAGCCAGGCTAAGACAAGAAACCAGGACACAGCTGGAGGACAGAGGGTGTAGGGAAGCAGGGCATGTGACAAGGGAAGGCAGAGCCCAGGCTGCTGGCCGAGGGTCACCTGCAGGGCCTTCAGCTCCACCCAGAGGGATGGCAGACTCTGCCCATTGCCTCCTCCGACCAGTCTACCCAAAACACCTCAAGAGAATGGGTAAGAAAAGCAGGACAGCTTCCGCAGGTCACACGGGAGACTGGCACAAGCAGGCGGGCAGCTTCCGTGCCCCACACGTCAGCACCGCGATGGGCCCCAGCTGCCTGAATCGGGCCACGGCGCTCGGCCTCACCAGCCACCCCGGGAGCTGCACGGGCCCTCCCAGACCACTACCCTGTGCCTGCTGGACCCGGGCCACGGCCGCAGGGCAGACCACGTGCTGAGCCAGGCCTGTCTCAGTGCTGGGACTCCTCTGATGGGGAAAGGCAGGGGCGCCGTGAACAGGGAGGGTAGGGGAGCGTGGCTACTGACTTGCTAACGACATTTTCCAGGGGGTCCGGTGCCCTGTTGCTCAAGGGGTCTTCCATCTTGGCTACAACGGCGTGCTGCCGGTCACTGTTGAGTATTACTGTAGTCTGGGGGACAGCGCTACGGAACAAAAGAATCACAAAGAAAAGAAGACCTTAAAACAGCAACATTCATTTTCAGAGCACATGCGAGCAATTCAATACAGTTAGCTCCCGGGGGCCGGCTCTGAGCGAGCGGGCAGTTCACACGGGCCACACGGGGGTGCCCCCCAGGCCGGGCTCTCAGCCGAGCCCTCAGCGAAGGCTGCACTGTGGCAGGCGAGCCCTGCGAGCCCACGGTGTCTACGGAAGACACGTCACTCCTCGCTCCCTCCCAGCCACTGCCCCCAAGACAGTTACACGCTCCTGTGGCACACGGGCCTGTGGCAGCCCTGGTGTGAGGACAGCTCAGCAGACCGCTGCAGGCCCAGGGGGGCACAGGACGATGACTTGGGGGTCCGACCAGGCAGCAGGCACAGACCCACTGTGCTACTTTTAGTGCTCTGTGGTCACAGACATCTAAACTGTTGGAGGCTGGGGAGCGAGAGGAACAGGTGCTGGGAAGACCAAGGAACAGGGCCCAAGTCCTGTCCCCAGATACCAGGCCTGGCGAGGCTGCTTTCCAGCTCTGCACCCTGGAGAAGGTGCTCCACGGCTGGGGGGGGGGCACGGTCACCAGGTCACCTCGGCCACAGTCCCCGTGTTCCCCCAGAGGCGGGTGCTGGTGGAGGCCAGGGTCCCAAGACCCACCGGGACAGGACAGGCTGCGGAGCAGAAGGCCAGCATGTGGCGGGAGCCCACTCAGGCACCTGTTTCCCCAAAACTGTCAAAATCAAGGCCGTGACATTCAGGCCGGCAGCTTCTGGCTGCAAGAGGCAGGCACCTGGGGTGCAGGGTGTGGACAGCCCCCCAAAAGCCTCGGGCACCCTCCCTCCCCAGAGAGCATGACCTCCGACCCCGGTTCCCCCATGGGCTGCCACACAGGGCAGCTGAGTGCCTGCCACGGGGCACTCACGGGACCCACATTTCTTAGCACTCCAAACTACCAAAGCCGTCTGCTCAAGCAGGGCAGGTGAGCGCACCGGCCTCACGCTCGCGGCCTCGGCTGCAGCCCGCAAGTCCATCCCTGCGCCTCCCTCACTCACACTTCACTCCTCACTGCAATGTCACCGCACCACAGAGGGACCGCTGATGGGTCCCCTTTCTGCCGGCAATGACATGGACAAACCCACCAGGATGATTCACTCTATTTCATCTGAGAAAGAGAGGAAGACAGAGACAGATGGCTCCCACACAGCCTCAATACCCGAAGGCCTGCACCCGCCAAGGCTGGAAGCCAGCCACTCTGCACAGGCTTCCTGTGCAGGCCTCCCAGGCCCTGCCTGAGCAGAAAGCTGGAGTCAGAGCCACCCCGACCTACTCTGAAACGGATACCTCAACCACCAGAGATGCCAAGTGGTGTTGTGTGCACAATGTTCCTGGAGAGCCCAGTGTGGTAGCCTAGTGGCTAAAGTCTTCACCTTGCAAGCACCAGGATCCCATATCAGCACCAGTTCCAATCCCCGCTGCTCCACTTCCCCTCCAGCTCCCTGCCTGTGGCCTGGGAAAGCAACAGAGGACGGCCCAAGGCCTTGGGGCACTGCACCTGTGTGGGAGACCCAGAAGAAGCTTCTGGCTCCTGGTTCTGGATTGTCTCAGCTTTGGCCATTGCGGCCACTTGGGGAGTGAATCAGCAGGCGGAAGATCTTCCTCTCTGTCTTTCCTCCTCTCTGTATATCTGGCTTTTTAATAAAAACAAATAAATCTTTTTTAAGTTACTGGAAATAACAGAGCAGTGCTTACTCCCTGTCTGTCCACTTGCCACCTTGTGGGGTGCCTTTCTGGCTCAGCCCTGGCCCCCAGGGAAATCACAGCCTAGGCTGGTGCTGTGAGGAAGCAGCTGCACAGCTGGACTGAACCTGGTCTCCGAGGACCTCAAAGGAACATGATCCCAGCGTCCGGGCCCTCCTGAGCGGCTCCTCCTTCTGCCCACAGCTGCCCACAGCTGGCAGCCAGGACTGTACGCCCAGCATCCCTCGGTGCCCCAGCCAGGGAGGTCTGCTTAGGCTCAATGAATACCTGAGTGCTCTTTTTGTTTTTAAAATATTTTATTTATTTATTTACTTGAAAGGAAATGTTACAAAGAAAAGGCAGACACAGAGACAGAGAGGACTGCACTTGCTGGTTTAGTTCCCAGGTGGCCGCCAAGGCTGGGGCGGGGGCAGGCACAGCAGGAGCCAAAAGTTCCCCCTGTGGGCACAGGGACCCAGTCACTAACTCATCCTCCAGTACTCTCCCAGCCATCGGAAGTGGAGCAGCCAGGACTCAAACCACCGCCCCCATGGGTGCCGTACTGCCCTCAATGGCCTAAGCTAGCCCTGTCCCTTCATTTGAACTGGCTTGCTCCGGCGAACATGAAACCATGGCTTCCACACTCCGAGTTCTCATGGCAAATGGCTCCTCCCTGCAGAGGCCAGGCGCTGTGTCCCTAAGTCATCCTGCCCGGGGCTCTGTGCAAGCGCAACCAGCTACACCGTCACGAGCAAAAGCAGAGGACCAAGCCACCAGCTCCACAGCTGAGCATCGGCTTCTCTGAGCCAGAGCTAGCAAACCAGATGGCTGGGGCAGTGAACAGACACGGACACAGCGGGTGGGTGAGGTGTGGGGGTGACACCTGGGACCAGCAGAGCCAGCAGCAGCTTGAGGTCACGACACCAGGTGCGCCCCTCTCCCACGGCACACCTGATGCTGACACTTCCAGAGTCCTCCAAGAGGGATGGGCCCCCAACTCCGCCTTCTCTGAAAGCTCAATGAAGCAGCACCGACACCCTGCCCACACCTCCAGACGCCGCACAGGGCTTGAGAGGCCAGGCTGTGCTCTCCGTCTCTCCTCACTACCCACTGTTCCCAGTAGATCTTTCTTTCCCCATGGAGGAATGAGCCCGGCCCCACCCAGCCGGGGAGCCTGGCCTGCAGATCCGAGGTGCTGCAGTGCACTGCTAACGAGGTTCAGAGGCCGGGAAGTCCGCGGGCACCAGCCCCAGACGCCCTGCACCCACCAACAACCCAACTCACGATTAGAATCCCAAGCTCGGGAGACTCTACTGGCCGACTCCATCAAGTATTCGAGAAGAGAGATTTGGCCAACAGAAACGCTTGCAGAAGCCGACTGGCAAGCAGTGTGCTGACGGGAACAGTGGACGAGCTCCAAGTCCTGCCCTGCGACCACACGGTTCACTGCACTCATGGCGGTAGACGACAGGACATGCCCCCCAAAACATCAGAGGTAAGGGAGACACAGAAATGATGGCCACGCCAGCACAGCAGGGGCACACAGCACAGGAAGCATCACTGGATGGCATACCCTAAAAATGACCAGAGCGGCACAAGCCGCTGACAGAAGCCACCCTTGGGTGCCAGGGAGGACCAAGATTCAACAGGCATGAACAGCCGGGAAGCCGCCGCACACTGAGGGGCAGCAGGGCCTCCCAGCAGGGGGCACTCCTGGGGCCCGTGCACGCTCCCAGTGGCTAACCCTCAGCCCTGACCTGGCGTCAACCCAAGGCCATCTGTGCACACAGCACGAGGACGGCCGAGAGCCCAGTCTGCACTAGCCTGGCCACAGGCTGCAGTGCGGCCTACAAGGACAGCTGGGTACCCAGTCCAGAGCACAGCCCCTGCCCGCAAGGCCTGCACTGCTCCCAGGCTGCAGCCCATCACCCTGCTTCCACTGGCCTCTAGTGCTCCCTGTCTGCCAGGGCCATCACACACACTCTCACATCCCAGCTTCCAATTCAACAAGGAAAGAACTAAGCGAGTCCTCCATGGCCAAGATCAAACGATTTCTCCACAGCACAGTGTTTCAGCTCAAGGTGGACACGCTCTGCAATGTTTCCAAATTTGTTCACTGAAAAAGTAGACAGAGATGCCCAACAGCAGCGGAAGCCAAGACGCCCCAACCTCCTGCTTGGGTGGGGGGCGGCACTGCCTGAGCGAGGGCCACCAGGCAGAGGTGGCTCGGCCAGGCTGGCTCTCCGGGGGGCTGAGCCCCTCAGCAGCACGCCCTGGGAAGGCACTAGGCTCGGTCTGGATCCACATGTCCACTCTTGGGCTGATACTCGGTGTTGAGGAAAGAGCCGCGCCTCAACGGCCCCAACTGAGGGTAGCTCTCCGTGAAAGCCTTCCTGCCACCTTCCCTCACGCACCAGCACCACGGGGAAGATGCGGGCTCGCCGGGCGGCACCACCACTGTAAAGGCACAAGCGTGGCCTACCATCAAAGCTTTCAAAATCAAAGACAGCAACAGCTTGCTTGTCCACACACACACTGAGATGACGAAAGCCAGCAGAACTGAGCCCTGGATGCCAGTCTCGCTCCAGTCTCCTGGGGGCAAAATGACACCCTGCAGTGCCACGCCCAGGCAGCCGCCGCACAGCAGGGCCACTGCCACGTACAGTCCCGTGCCTGCTGCACTCTGCTCCAAGCCTGACGAGACGGTCAGCTGCCGGCATGCTGCACTGTGCACGCTGGCCCAGCTGAGACGCTCCCAGCCAGCACCACACCTAGGCCCGCAGCTCCCGATGCCTCCCAGTGCCACGGACGCCGTAAGCCTCAGGCCACCACCCCTAGACACACCCACAGCACACCTTAAGGAGCTCGCCGGCCCTCTTGCCACCTCCAACCCAGTGAACTCTGCTACAGGTGGAGCAGCAGGGCGGGGGCAGGCTGTGGGCCAGCGGCCTGCACCTTCCACCCTCCCGGCAGAACGTGGAGCTCTGCGCCCACAGGGCCGCCCGGCCGGCAGGGCCCCTCCGACACCATCGCAGGCGGCCTGTCCTTGCCGCAGGGCCCAGTGTCCCTCCAGCCACACCAAGTGAGGGCGAGCAGTCCCTCGGACAGTCCCGCGGCCCAGCCGGAGGCCCGTTAGGCGGCCCCGTCCGGCACTGACCCTGCCAAGCAGGCCCACACCAGGGCTGCGAGATCCACTCGCCCTCTCCCTGGAATGTTCTCTGGACAGCCTCAGATGTTGCCAACGAGCATCTCTTGTTTTCAGAGCTGATGTTGAGAGAACACCAGGTTCGACAACTCCTGACACAGTCACTCCGCTCTGTCTATTGGCATAGTCCTTCAGAAATTAGACGCAGGACCCGCACGGAGCGCGGCTGCGGCCGCCTGGCTGCTGTCCGACAGAGCGCACGGCAGACACCTTCCCCAAGGGAACGGCCCAGCAGCAGCGGCAAGCGCCGCCACCCTGAAGAGAGCGGGCAGCAGGAGCCGTCAGCACACCCACTGGCAACAGGAGGGTGCTGGAGGCTGGGCACAAGGTCACCACGTAGGCCGGCTCAGGGAGTGGGCGCCCCGCAGGCCCCTCACAGCCCATCTGCACACACAGGCTCCCCGTCAGGAACGCCCTGGTCCGCCTCTGGCAGGAGGAGCAGGCGACAGCCCCTGGGCAGGAAGGGCGCCCCCTGGAGCAGCAGCTCTCACTGTGGGTGCCCAGGGTGCTCTGAGCTCAGCTCTCCCGTACACCCGAACAGGCCTGCTCCCAGCTGGCTGAAGCTGCCGTCCCACTCTTAGCCAAGGCGGTGGTCGTGCTTTCCGCAGCCCGGGCTCTGCAGGCGCCGACCACCAAGGCAGCAGAACCCCACAGCAGCCGCCCCTGGAGCTCCGCCCTCCACCGCCTGCAGGGTCGTCACCGGACACCAAGTGCTAGCTGGAATACCTGGCTGGCTCCCTGCTGGCCTGGGGGCACAGACTGCCCCAACCTCCTCTATATCACCATTTGAGCACCCTTCTAATTTTCAAACTATAAATCCTACTTCCTAACATTGCACTTTGGAACACGAGCACATCAGACAAAATATGAACCTTCAAGTCTGAGGACTCTGTACAGCAAGCTCGGTCAGATGCCTACACAAAGACCTCACTCTCTGACGCCACCCTGCGGGCTGCGATGCCAACGCTGCTGCCAGCGGCTGGGGGCAAATGAGGGGCAGGCAGGGGCAGGCAGGGGCAGGCAGGGGCAGGCGGGGGAAGGCGGGGGAAGGGGGGCAGGTGGGGGCAGGCGGGGACAGGTAGCAAGGGCTGAAAAGAAGAACTACCGATTATGCCAGCACAGCAAGTGACACCAGGCATGAATATCAGCACCCTGTACCACAAACACATGGACAGTGGGGGCCCTCTCCGCACCCACACTGCGCCCCCATGCAGGGCAGCAGGTCACCATCCCCAGGGCTCTGTGGAGGGGTCAGAGCTCCAGCAGCCGGTGGGACGCCACGGCAGGCCAGGCGTGTACCCTCCTGCCTAAGCAAACTCTGCCAGCTCCACTTCCTGCATCCACAGGCCCACAGGGCAGCTTTCAAGACAGGGGCAGTAAAGCCATGGCCCAGAACAGACCAAGGAGAAACGTCTCCCACCGCCTACAGAGCAGACGACGGAAGAGCAAGAGCAAGCATCCGGTGTGCAGGACTTGTCCCAGAGAAAAGACGCAGAGCTCGCTCCCAGCTCTGTGCGAGCGCGCCAGGGCACAGCTGCAGGCGGCCAGGCGGGTGAGAGCGGGCCCATGGCACACCCTGGGCTCAGCCAGGCCAGGGAACAGCTGCAGGCGGCCAGGCGGGTGAGAGCGGGCCCACGGCACACGTGGACTCAGCCAGGCCAGGGCACAGCTGCAGGCGGCCAGGTGGGTGAGAGCGGGCCCACGGCACACGTGGACTCAGCCAGGCCAGGGAACAGCTGCAGGCGGCCAGGCGGGTGAGAGCGGGCCCATGGCACACCCTGGGCTCAGCCGGGACAGGGCACAGCTTCAGGGAGCCAGGTGGGTGAGAGCAGGCCCATTGCACACCCTGGGCTCAGCCGGGACAGGGCACAGCTGCAGGCGGCCAGGCGGGTGAGAGCGGGCCCATGGCACACCCTGGGCTCAGCCGGGACAGGGCACAGCTGCAGGCGGCCAGGCGGGTGAGAGCGGGCCCATGGCACACCCTGGGCTCAGCCGGGACAGGGCACAGCTGCAGGGAGCCAGGCGGGTGAGAGCAGGCCCATGGCACACCCTGGGCTCAGCCGGGACAGGGCACAGCTGCAGGGAGCCAGGCGGGTGAGAGCAGGCCCATGGCACACCCTGGGCTCAGCTGGGCCAGGGCACAGCTGCAGGCGGCCAGGTGGGTGAGAGCGGGCCCATGGCACACCCTGGGCTCAGCTGGGACAGGGCACAGCTGCAGGGAGCCAGGCGGGTGAGAGCAGGCCCATGGCACACCCTGGGCTCAGCTGGGACAGGGCACAGCTGCAGGCGAGCTGGGTGGGCAGGAACGGGCCTGTGGCTTACCATCGCACTTTGTTGCAGGTCTGGGTTGCGCCGAGCGGGGAGCCAGCCACCATGGGCACTTGGATGGGGCTGTGCTGTTTGTTGGTGACCAGGTCCAGCTTCTCTTCCAGGGATTTACACGTCGCCTCCAGCGCCTGCAGCTTGGCCTCAATGCTGTCCAGTCGCAAGCATATTGTCTGGTTAATGGAATACAGGAAGGACTGGAAGAGAAAAGAGCATTTTAGAAAGGAGATCTGGCTTGCTTCCTGACGGACAACTCCCAAGGGCTTGGTGGGGCTGCTATCTGGTTTCAGCCGTGGCTTCCCGGGGTGCCTCCCGTGCTATGCGCGGCTAGCTGAGCTATACTTACACACACCCCTAAAGCCGGCCACACCTCTCCAACACCGCAACCAACCAGTCTGGAGACCCCAGCCCCCACGACCCCCACGGGTCGCAGACACTGCACAAGCTCGCCACCTGGTGGCAGACCATGACAGCAGCCTCTCGGCTGTCCCCACCTGACAGATCCCTGCAGGGATGCCACTGTCTGGTGAGTGGAGAGCCAAGACTGGGGCAGGCATGGCTAGACAGAGAGGAGCACCCGTTGGCAGGTGTGCGGGCTGCACAGCGGGGCTGGTTGCGCTGAGCTAGGCTTCAATGCCCACTGACATGTAGGAGAGCTGAATGGGACGTGGGGCAGACTGGATCAGTCTGCAGTACATACTGGCAAGCACGGAAACCAGGGCAGGGGGCGGGCCTGGTGGGGGTAATGGGAGTCGCCCCAACTAGGCTGCAGCTCCCACTGGTTCACATGACCAAATGTATGGTTGGCAGGCTTGGAATAAGTTCCATCACCCACTGATTTGTGTAGAAGATGGGGTTGGAGGCAGAACTGACCCAGCAACGGCAATCACCAGCACATGCATAGGCTGATCGGGGTGACGGACTGTGCCGGGCCTGTACTGGCAAGCACACACAAGAATCAGGTCTGGGATCACCTCCGATGAAGTTTCTTTGGGGATCCCCCCAATCGAACTGCCGGACTCAGAACCCCAACCATGAAGAGAAGTGCAGGTTCTGTGGTCTGACCATGGAGTGCATGTGTCAAAGCTGAACTGCCTCAGTGGCTCAGACAGCAGGGGACAGCACATCCAGGCGCACATGGAGGACAGGGCAGTACACTGGGGCCTGCAGAGGACACCTGCCACCACAACAGAGGACAAAACAAATTGATCAACTACCCCAGCCATGTGTTGGCAGTGAAAATCTGGGCAAACGGAGACTGTAGGGTGGACTGTGTCAGCCAGTGGATTCTGCAGCGAATTCATCGTGCTTGGGATGGCGAGACTGGCAGCAATTCAGAACTGCTGAACCATGAAAACCACTCGAGCAGGACCCTCGGACCCCACCTCGGGACCTGGGATGGCTGGGGGGCTGGGCAGGGCTTCTCCCTTTGTCTTTCCCCTTGCCCCAGAAACAGGAAGGAAAAGAGAATTTGCAAAAAACGATCTAACCCACTTTCCAACTAGGTAGAGATCATCAAAATAAACAAATACATAAAGAGTAAGGCTCCCCAAGTGTCCGGCAGCGAGTGGGGGTGCTTGGAGGGGGCGAGGAAGGCCGCCTCGGGCACTGGCCCTGCACTGACCGACAGGAAGCTTCAGGCCTCGGAGGCCGAGCTGTGCGCTGTGTCCAGGTCACCTGCCACTGCAGAAACGCCACATGACCCAGCTGACACAGGCGACTGTCCACAGACACACCGCATGACACAGCGACTGCACGCCAGCGACCGCACGCCAGCGACCGCCTTCCCCACTGAGGCACTGCAGATGCGGGAACCCACGCAAGCCTCAGGTCGCTCTGGGACACTGCCGGACAGGAGGCCACCCTGCCTGGGATGGTACCTCAATGCAAACATTTACTCCCCACACTCTTCAAGGAAAAGGTGACTCCCCAAAATAGTGTCCGTACCCCACCCTAGAAGCCCGACCACAGGTCTCCGCAGGTGTGACTGCAAGAGCTCATCCTGCGCCGGCTGGGTCAGGCCAAGGGACACAGCAAACAAAGAGCAGGACACAGGGCAGAAGGCCACTTCCGGGGAAGCCGGGCTGGCAGAGCAGGGTTCGCTGGGCCTGCAGCCACAGGGAGCGGCAGCAGGGAGAGCAGCACCTCACCTTTATGGAGGGATCCTGGCAGGTGACGGCAAGTCGCTGGCGCTTCAGAGCGGGCTCATCTTCATCCGTTACCACATGGTTCTCTAGAACAACTGCAAAGCAATGGCAAGCCGTGAGCCGTGGGCCGTGAGCCGTGGGCCGTGGGCCATGAGCCGTGGGCCGTGAGCCGTGAGCCGTGGGCCGTCAGCTGTGAGCCGTGGGCCGTCACCGTGGGCCTTCAGCTGTGAGCCATGGGCCATGAGCCGTGGGCTGTGAGCCGTGGGCCTGAGCCGTGGGCCTGCCACTTCAGGGTCAACAGCAACACTCGGGGCCAGCAAGATGCCACAGACATTCACCCTCTGCCTGCATGCCAGCACCACACTGGGGCGCCAATTCAAGTCCCAGCTGCTCCACTTCCCATCCAGCTCCCTGCCTGTGGCCTGGGAAAGCAGTCAAGGACGGCCCAAAGCCTTGGGACCCTACACCCATGTGGGAGACCCGGAAGAGGTTCCTGGTTCCCGGCTTCGGATCGGCACAGCACCGGCTGTTGCGGCCACTTAGGGAGTGAATCATCGGATAGAAGATCTTCCTCTCTGTATATGACTTTGCAATAAAAATAAAATCTTAAAAAATAATAATAATAAAAACTGCTGGGGCAGCTACTGTGTGCTGAGCACGAGAATACCCCTACTGTGTGCTGAGCATGAGAACACCCCCTACTGTGTGCTGAGCACAGAGAACACCCCCTACTGTGTGCTGAGCATGGAGAACACCCCCTACTGTGTGCTGAGCACGGAGAACACCCCCTGCCTAGTCCAGCGGGCACCTGGGTGGTCAGGACTCAGGTCCCCCACTGCGATCTGCACCACGTCCGCCAGGTCCTGCTCTGACATCATGGGCACCAGAGGAGAGGGGCCGGGCGCCAGGCAAGGATCCAACGCAGGGTGGGGTGGGGCTCCTGCCACCTGCAAGACAGAAGCACGGAGAGCGGGCGGGACGTCAGCGAGCCACGGGGACGGGGATCCCGGCCCAGCACAGCCCTCCCCTTCAGCCCACGCGCGCACTGACCACCTGCCGACAACGGCCGCGAGTCACGGAGAGACACTGCCCCACCACCCCACCCTGTGCACGCTGGCAGCAGCTGTTCCCGCAGTCACCCCGCAGGCCCGACCCCACCTGCTGCCCACTGCCCTCACAGGCCACCCAGGGCGGGGTCAGCCGGACTTCCCTCCAGTGCCCAGGACACTTCTGCCATCCGAGATCCAAAACTTAGGTCACGCCCTGCAGACAAGGCTGACAGACACTGGTCGGACCCTTTAATTCTTAAAGATTTACTTATTTTTATTGGAAAGGCAGATATACAGAAAGGAGGAAAGACAGAGAGGAAGATCTTCCATCCAATGATTTACTCCTCAAGTGACCGCAACGGCCGGTGCTGCGCCGATCTGAATCCAGGAGCCAGGAGCCTCTTCCGGGTCACCCACGCGGATGCAGGGTCTCAAGGCTTTGGGCTGTCCTTGACTGCTTTCCCAGGCCACAGGCAGGGAGCTGGATGGGAAGTGGAGCAGTTGGGACACAAACACACACCACATGGGATCCCAGCGTATGCAAGGGACACTAGGCTAGACACTAAACCACTGTAGCCTAGACACCAGGCTGCAGCACTGGGCCCATTCCACATTTTCGTCTGCATATTACCAACTTGGCAGCGACGACCCTGGCTGAGATGACGCGTGCCTCAGCAGAGTCCCTGGTCTCATCTACAGCCCAGATCCTGCCACACTGACACCTTGAGGCACTGGGTTCCTGCAGGGCTTCTCCACGCACAGGGGAGATGCAGCCTGACCCCTAGCTGGGAGCGACCCGTGAGCAGTGCACCCTCCCAGGTTCGCTTTGTCGGCCTCGTCTCCCACCTGAGCTTGAAAACACTGCAGACTTTCCTGGGCCCGGTGCAGTAGCCTAGCAGCTCAAATCGTGTTTTGCATGCTCTAGGATCCCATATGGGTGCTGGTTCTAATCCCAACGGAACCACTTCCCATACAGCTCCCTGCCTGTGGCCTGGGAAAGCAGTCGAGGACGGCCCAAAGCCTTGGGACCCTCCCATCTGGGAGACCTGGAGGAAGTTCCTGACTCCTGGCTTCGGATCAGTGCAGCACCAGCCATTGCGGCTACCAGGGGAGTGAACCTTCAGATGGAAAAAAAAAGAGTCCACAGTACGGGGCCCAGGAGTAAGGTCAGAAGGGACTTACACAACAGGAGCTCGCAACAGCCACGGCCTCCTTCGTCGAGAAGGCGCATTCTGCACACAGCACCTGCTGGGCAAACACCCTCAACCAGCTGCCCCCAGACCGCTCCCCGCTCCAGGCCCAGTAACTCAGTCAGAGGGCGAGTGAACGGGGCGAACTGCTCAGACCAGCTGAGAGGAGCCACCACCTGCACTGCCCACAGAACTCTGTGCTCTGCAACCAGTGCGCTGTGGACACGGGCCCCTGCAGGGACCGCAGGGACCAGGACTGGCGGCAGGCCTCGTGGGGCTACTAGGAGTCACTCCAGTGAGGAGTGAAGGCCGAGGGTGCGGTAGGCAGGGCTGGGCTGGGCCGCAGCATCCATCAGCTTTGCATAGGAGTGAGGGCTTGGCACAGAACTGACCAGACAACTACAACCGCCAGTGTACATACATGTAGGCAGGCGTGGGTGACAGGCAGCCAGGCCCGGCTGTGGCTGGCATACACAGGAATCAGGTTGGGGACCCCCTCAACTGCACCACTGTACTCTTAACTCCAACCATGGTGAACATTACAGGATCTGGGCCCAGTGTGGTGGCCTAGCAGCTAAAGACCTCGCCTTGCTACACTGGGGCCCCATGTGGGCGCTAGTCCTAACCCCAGCTGCTCTGGGAAAGCAGTCTACCCAAAAAAGGGCTACCCAAAGCCTTGGGACCCTGAAGAGGCTCCTGGCTCCTGATTGGCTCAGCTCCAGTTGTTGCAGCCACTTGGGGAGTGAACCATTGGACAGAAGATATTCCTCTGTCTCTCCTCTCTATAAATCTGCCTTTACAATGAAAATATTTTAAAAATCTTACAAAACCATGGTCTGGGCTCTTCCTCTAGACTGTTCCCCTGGACAGGAGGCTTCTTCCTAGGGCACAGGGGACTCACCACCCGGGACGGGACCTGGCCAGGCCAGGGGCGCTGCTGGCCTTCAGGGCACCAAGGGACGCGCACCCGCTCTGCCCAACAGTGCCGCGGCTCAAGGTGCATGTCAAGACCCTGCCCCAGAGCCAAGACCCCGCCCCAGAGCCAAGGCCCCGCCCCAGAGCCAAGGCAGGACACACTGAGCAGGTGCTGCATGGGCAGCCCCCCTTCCTGCCAACGACCTCTTCTTGCACAGGAACATTCCAGAACAGCCCAGAGCTCTTCTGTTGGTAACTCATAGTTTTCAAGTGTTTACCGCCACCACACACAAAGCCAAAGCTGCAAACCTGCATTACCCTCCGGCAGGAGCAGCGCCTGGAGCCCTCAGAGCAGTCTCACTCGCCCTCACCACGCACTCAGCCGAGTCCGGTCGTAACGAGAAGGGTGTCTTCCCGGACCTGAGCAGCTGGTGCAGACCCTGCAGTGCTGAAGCTGGCCTCCCCCTATGGGACCCAGACAGCTCACGGCCCCAGCAGGCAGTGCCAGGCCTGTGCCGCCGGCCCACCTGCCAGCCCAGGGGACCCAGTCCAGGGTCACGCTTCCGTGCACGCACAGCGCCTGCCCAGCCAGCTCCCAGGCTGTCTGTGGACCTGGACCCCCGGTGCGCACGTCAGGGTCCCAGTGAGGGGCATTTTCTCCTCTCACCTCCTGGGCATCTAACCTGGCGCTGTGGTGAGCTCTGCCATCCCTGGCAGGATTCACAAAGACCTTCGGGGATGCCAAGGTTCCCTCACACCAGCTCGTATAGCGGCTATATCCCAATGTCCGCAGCGCCATCAACCGAGCCTTAATCCTGTTCCCTAGGAACCTTCCAGAGCCGACTGGAGGCATGAAGCCGCGTGCAGGACGGGCTCCGAGGCAGCATGAGGCGGGGCGAGTGCAGGCATGGAAGGCTGCTGCCCAGGCGCCCGTGTGGGTCACGCCCGCCCAGCACCAGCGCAGGGAGGTAGCCTCACTGGAGAGTGACCTGAACAAGGCCGGGTGAGACCCAGCGTGTTTCTCACCAACTCTCACGGGCAGCTGCCCAGTGGGGCTCTCGCCTGCAGCTTCCAGTGGCCAGTGGCTAAGGGCAGCACAGCCCTGGCTCTGCACACCGCCCGGCTGGGCAAGAGCCTGCCTGGGGCAGGAAGCCCTGGGACCGGGCTGCAGCTGGCCTCCCTCCAAAACAGCAGAGCCAGGCCCATCGCCTACTTGGCGATACCAAGCTGCCACCTGCACCGCCCCGCCAACAACACACACCACAAACAAGATGGCAGGGTCCCGACCAGGCCAGACTGGCCACACAGCCCAGGACGTAACGACCCCAGGACAATACGGCGGCAAGAAGGGCCCAAACCCAACAGCCGGGGCCCTGGGGGAGCAGCATGCCAGCTCCTCCCAGCCCTCTGTGCAGGAGCAGCACCTGGGGAGGGAGGCACCCGGCACAGGAAGTCAGTTAAGAAGCAGCTGCTGCTGGGGGGGGCCCTCAGTCCACACCAGCTCCCTGCTGCAGGGTGGGGCAGCTCAACGGGGCGGAGGGCCCGGGCCCAAGAGCCCGGCTCAGAGAGCACCCCAGGGACGTGTGGACAAGCAGAGGACACTGCCCAGGGCAGGGGAGGAGGGGGCCGGGTTGCAAAGGGACAGGGGGCCCCCAGCGCAGCACAGCGTTGGGGCCTGACCATGCCCGCACAGGCCCGAGGGCAGCTGTGTCCTGCGAGCCCGCTGACCCCACGGTCCCCGTCAGAGCCAGCGACGATGGAACCCCACACCCACTTCGGGGACAAAGCAGGAGCAAACGACCCCGTCACGCCCGCGCGCCAAGGCTGCCCCGAAAGCCCAGCGTCCAGCGCCCAGGTGGCCCCACAGGGACAGCTCCCGTCCCCGCGCCGAGCAGGGCGCACTCAGGGGGGTTGGCCGGGTGGGGAGCGGCCGATCGCCAGGGCCAGGCCTGGGGAGTGGACCCCCGTGTCCACCGTGGGCAGCAGAGCCCTGAGGGCCGGGTGGGGTAGTGGACACCCATGTCCCCATGGGCCTGGGGAGCAGACCCCCGTGTCCCAGGCAGTGCCCCCGTGTCCCTCGTGGGCCTGGGAAGTGGACCCCGTGGACCAGGCAGTGTCCCCGTGTCCCCCGTGGGTCTGGGAAGTGGACCCCGTGTCCCAGGCAGTGGCCCCGTGTCCCTCGTGGGCCGAGCATTGTCCCCCGTGGGCCTGGGGAGTGCCCCCCGTGGGCCTGGGGAGTGCCCCCCGTGTCGGCAGTGCCCCCCGTGTCCCCCGTGGGCCTGGGGAGTGCCCCCCGTGTCGGCAGTGCCCCCCGTGTCGGCAGTGCCCCCCGTGTCCCCCGTGGGCCTGGGGAGTGACCCCGTGCCCCCACAGGCCCGGCGGTTGGCGGCGGCCGGCCGAGGACGCAGGCCCCAGGGCGCAGGGCACAGGGCGGCCGCAGATCTCGCTCTCGCTCTCGCTCTCGCTCTCGTTCTCGCCCCGCGGGAAGGGGGAGGCGGAGGCGCGACCGGCTGCGGGAGCTGCAATTACCGTGTGGGCTGCGGAATTCTCGTGGTGTTTGTCGGGGCGCTGCGATAATGGCGTCCGTCCTCGCGAGAGAAGCCGCCGCTCCGCGCAGGCGCCGCCGGCCCCTCCCGCGGCTCCGCCCCCCGCTCTCCGCGCAAGCGCACACGAGCACGGCGCCTGCGCACGGAGCTCGGCCGGGCATGCGCAGGCGTCCGGCTCCTGGTTGGCCGTCGCGCGGCCACGTTCCCTGCGTGGAAAATGGCCGTTGTCTTTGTGAAGGAATTCGTGGACATGAACTGCTGCGGACGACTACAGTCCCCAGGGTGCACTGCGCACGTCGCTGTGGTGCGTTCTGGGACTCGTAGTCCTCTCGTCTGCGCCGAGCCTGCCGGGACTTGTAGTCCCGTCGAACGAGACCCCGGCGGCCCGCCCTCGCCCCGAGGCCTGCCGGGACTTGTAGTTCCGACGACTCCGCGGGAAGGACGGCCTTCCGTGTCCTCCCTAGACGCGGGAGCCACCTCCCCGGGGACAGGGGGCGCCTGCGTCCAGGGTCTCGGGCCCCGATCGAAGCTCTCTCCCTCTGCACCCTCCGCTTTCAAATAAATGCAGATTTTCTAAAGATGATACCACCGCCCTAGGGAGGTGCGCGCAGTGCGGAGGGGCCCTCCGCCTGAGCCGCCCGGCTGCGGGGGTGGACGCTGCAGCAGCAAGGCCCAGCGTGAGGGACGTGTAAGGCCAGGCCGCGCCCCCTTCGGCCACCCGGAGGCTTTCCTGGCCCCTGAGTCCTCGACAGGCTTGAGGCGAACGTGGTGTGACCAGCTTCGGCCAGGCACTGGCCACCGGGAGACGCACCTCACAGGCCTCTCGTGTGTGGAAATGACCGTGCAAAGCTCCGGACCCCGCTGCACCCGTGAGGACGTGGCGGTGGCTGGGGTGCCCCTCCCCTGTGCCCTGTCAGCCCACACATGCAGGCAGGCCACCTCCCTGCCAGCCGCTGCCCAGGGCACACGTGGCTGGCACACAGGGCGCCCAGGGTCGGCGCTGTCCAGCCCTGTCCATGCAGAGGCAGCTACGGGATCTGACCCACGCAAGCCCTGGCTTCCTGTCGGTGCACAGCCCCGGAGGGGGCAGCTGGTCAGTGACGTGTTTGGGTCATGGCCACGCACGTGCGGGACCCAGACGGAGCTCCAAGCTCCTGGCCCAGGCTGGCTGCTGGGGGCATTGGGGAGTAAGGTGGTAGATGGAGGCTCTCTCTCCTCTCAAGCTTCAAAAACAGGGAGTAACCTCAGTGTCCATCCGGGAGATGGAGCTTGGCACCCACGGTGCATCTGCATACAAGACCCTGTGGCCTGGGTCACTGTTCATTGGCTGGCTACCAGCCACACGCACAGCAGGGGAGAGGTGCTGCGTGCCCGGCCACAGGGGGACAAGGATGCGGGGTCATCGGCAGGGGTGGGGACTTTGCCCCGGAGCCCAGGGCACAGTTAGCTGCCCTTCAGGGCCAGATCGATGCAGCCCCGTGCCCCCATGCCTAGGTCATCCACCGGGCAGCATGGGCCAGGGTTGGAATTTAACCTCTGGACTGGGAAGGGTAGGTGAGTTTCTCCCCTGGCCCCTGTAGCCACTGTGAAAGGGGCCGCCAGGACCTGGGGCCTCTGGGACGGGCCCAAATACGCTGAGGGCCATGCTGCCAGCCAGGGGCCCCTCCATGGTGAAGCAGGTCGTGGGGGCGCCTGCTTGGCAGCTGCGGTGCTCCTGGCCGCCTCGTGTACAGGGGAGCGCAATCGGCACCTGTGAGTAGATCTGGGGCCCCGGGGACAGGCACGCCGGCGCCCGGGGAGCCAGGCCCAAGGTCTGTGGTCAGCTGGGGCCGCCGCCTCTGTCCGCCCTGTGCTGCACCTGGTCCCAGGAGAGAGACAGGCAGTGTGTGCGGCTTCACAGGCCCCACGGTGGCATATCCACAGCCAGTCGAGAAAGCACCCGAACACACAGGACCGACCTCCCCGTGGGGTGCTGGCAGAGTGTGTGGGCCCTTCCAGGGGTGCGCCCTCCCCCAGCGGTGCCGGCAGTGTGTGTGCGCCCTTCCAGGGGTGTGCCCTCCCTGTGGGGTGCCCGCAGTGTGTGTGCGCCCTTCCAGGGGTGCGCCCTCCCTGTGGGGTGCCCGCAGTGTGTGTGCGCCCTTCCAGGGGTGTGCCCTCCCTGTGGGGTGCCCGCAGTGTGTGTGCGCCCTTCCAGGGGTGCGCCCTCCCCGTGGGGTGCCCGCAGTGTGTGCGCTGACTGTATGGTGACTGGAGAGCGGTGCCCTCAGGCAGCAGGGTGCCCTCGAGGGGTGAGGGAGTCCTGGCTGCAGCCCGCTTGTCCTGCGCCTTCACTCTAATCTCCTTCCTTTGGGGGGCACGGAGACAGAGCGCTCCCACCGGGCCGGAGCTGTGCCAGGTCAGAGTCGGGCACCATGGGGGGCAGTGACCAGCATTGGGCTGCGTTCGCAGGGAGCTGCAAGCTCAGGAACGGACCACCAGCCCCCGGGGGGACACGCGGGCTCTGCACGGGCCCGGGCCCCGTCCCAGGTGGCACCCGGCAGTCCCCCATCAACATCCGGAGGGAGGACAGCGTGTTCGATCCCCGCCTGCAGCCGCTCGCCATCGCCTACCGGGCAGCATCCTGCCGCTACGCATGGAACACCGGCTACTTCTTCCAGGTGGAATTTGAGGACACTGCTGGCTCAGGTGAGCCCGCGCTGGGGCCCGAGGCCATTGTCCTGCTGCCCCTGGGAGTGGGGCGGCCTTCCGGACACCATCAGGGCGGGGGAGACGCTCACCTAGCGGCCTCGCGGCGACCAGGGCAGCCCCTCCCCGCAGGGTTCACCTGCCAGGGCAGGAGTGACCGCCGGCTGGGCGCTGCCCACTGAGCCAGAGGCCTGAGAACAAAGCACGGCGGGCTGCCAGGTGGGGCAGCAGGAGCCCGGGCATCTCATGGGTTCTCGGAGGGAGCCAGGCTGAGCAGAGCCCTGGCGGAAGCCTGTCTCGGGGTGTTTGCACCCACACACGCTCAGTTCTTGCACTGCAGGTGCCGGAGCGCGCCGCCAGCAGGAGCCTCTGCCACCAGGGGGCGCCGCTCTCTGCTCGCCACACTCCGAGGACAGCGCCTCTGATTGGTTCAGCCCCCCGCCCGTCAGGGCTATTGCTGGTCCGTATCCAATCAGCTGTGGCCGGAGGTGGGCGCTCGCCTAGCCGGCGGAGTCCCGCGTGGGGAGCGGGTGGCAATGGCGGCCAAGGCTTCCCCAGGAAGCAGGTTGGCCAAGAGAACGGAGGAGGCCGAAGACAGGCGTCGGGAGCAGACCGCCAAGAGACGGGGGCTGTCCTCCCTGAGCGTCCACCTCTAAATCAAAACTAAGGGTTAAGAATGAATGAATAAGGTTGCATTTCAAAAACAAAACAAACCATTCAAACATGGAAGTGTGTCCCAGATGTTTCATGGCAAATACCTGAGACATCAGCTTAAAAAAGCGTGTCCTTGACTGGAAATTTGCTGGTGACTGGCTATCCCAGATTTTTCCTGGAACCTGTGGCAGGCAGTTCAAGGGAGCTGGGCAGAGGACAGGAGGCCTGTGGGTCCTGGTCTCTCCCGGCCCCAGGGTGGACGGCTCTGCAGAGAGTGACCTGGGGCAGGGCCTTGCTCCCGGAGCCCACGGGAGGAGGATGGGAGGGGACCCGGCAGAGGGGAGTGAGTGGGGTGGGGGCCGCCGTGTCCTGACCCGTGAGGGGTGAGGGGTCACCCCTGTGACCTGTGTCCTGGCCAGTGGGGTGGTCATGAGGGGTGGGGGTTGTGGCAGCAGCAACCCCAGGGTTGCCAGGACCCTCCGCAAGAGGCCACAGCGGTTCTCAGAGACCTTGATGGTGGCATGGCCAGAAAAGCTGACCTGGGGCCCTGGCAGCCGTCCAGCCTCCCCAGCCTGCTCTGAGGAGCTGCTCTGAGGAGCTGCTGGGGGACAGCCAGGAGCAGAGCTGAGAGGCAGGCAGGAGCGAGTGACCCTCGCATGCAAGCCTGTGGGCAGCTGTTTGTCGGGGTGCTGACCCCCCGCGCCCTCTCTCCTCTGCCACCTTCCTCAGCCCAGCTGACACCTCCCCTGCTCCGGGCCTCCCCAGGTATCCTGGCCAGTGCAGGTCTCCCCAAAGCGTGGTCCATGCCGACCTTCACACTGGCGGCCAATCTTACTGAATAACCATGGGCTGCTGTCTGGCGGGTGCCAGGCCACGTGTCCACCCCACGAGTGGGGCTAAGCTGCCTCTCACGGTGCGTCCATGCCTCTGTGCAGGTGGCTCCCGCAGGTGACCGCAAAGGTGACCGTGGTGATGGTGCCAGCCAGTGCAGCAACCATGCAAGAGACATCAGGGCGTCTCACCTTGGGGCGTCCTCGCCTGTCCACCAGTGCCAGGCAGGAAGCACCCCTGCAGAGCTGCTCTGGGTGAAGCCAGTGTCCGGGTGACCTGGTCTGGCAGTGTATCACTGGAGAGAGACTCACATAGCCCAGGGCTGGGGCCTTCTCACCTGTGGGGTGTCGGCTGCGTCTCTTGGGGCTGCAAGAGCAGGCTGGCCCTGGTGGCATTGCTTCCACTGAAGCAGGCAGCACGAGCTGCCTTATCCTGACCTTAAAGCTAAAGGCAGGCATGCCGGCCAGGCGCCTGCCCTGCGTGTCATGTAAGGGCTCAGACCCACAAAGAGATGGCCGAGACAACGCGATCCGGGGCCAGGACACGGCAGCGAGTGGCCATCACGGTTTTATTTGGAGGGTCTGGCACCCACAGAATCAGTTGCCCGATGAGACCTCCGCACGTGTGCCAGGTGCCAGTGCACCTGCTGGTGGAGATGTGGGCTGGGGGCACAGCTGTGCTCTCAGTAAGTGTTGTTGAGTGCCACACGGGCCGGAGGCTCACACGGCAGCCACGTGTCCCCTGCTGAATGGCTCTTGCCATTTGCCATTTGTGAAAGTCACTTTGATATTTTCTTATCTCGGTCTCCTGTCTCAAATTGGATTCTTAACTTCAATGGGGGGAAAAAAGGAACATTAAATTTGCTTGGAACCCCACAATGAAAGCTGCAGGGCTGACCTGCCACACAGACAGGGTTGGGGTGCTGGGCAGCCGGGGGCGTGCGTGCTTTCTGAAGTGATTGCCTCTTCCTTGAGGGGGAGCCAGCCCTTTGGGGAAAGGAGCCTGACATGGCCAGTCCTTGGTGGGCGCCTGCTGGCCAGGGCTTGTGCCCAGTGCTCCCTGAGCTGCAGCACCACAGAGGACCCAGGCAACCGAGACCCTGCCTGGGGACAGCTTGTCCCTCAGCAGGAGCAAGGCTGCGTCAGAAAGTTCATGGATCAGCCCGGTGCGGTAGCCTAGTCCCAGCAGCCCCGCTTCCCATCCGGCTCCCTGCCTGTGGCCTGGGAAGGCAGTTGAGGACGGCCCAAAGCCTTGGGACCCCGCACCCGCGTGGGAAACCTGGAAGAGGCTCTAGGCTCCTGGCTTTGGATCGACTCAACTCAGGCCTTTGCAGCCACTTGAGGAGTGAATCATCAGATGGAAGATCTTCCTCTCTGTCTCTCCTCCTTTCTGTATATCTGACTTTCCAATAAAAACAAATAATTTTTAAAAATAAAAAGGAAGTTTTTAGGAAATGGAAGCAGAAGTTTGTGCAGGTCCAAAGAACATTGGCTCGTGTCATCTTCCCGTAATCCACCTTTTCCCTGAATGTTTCAAAGCTCTGTCCTGAGCAAGGACTTCAGACTTTCTTTGGAGGGGTGTGTGAAAATGTAATTCATCTTGAATTCTGGTTTCCACGAAGCTGCATGCATCTTTGGCTTTTGTTTGCTAATGTCTGTCTAAGTGTACATGGCCAGTGTCGAGCCTGGCCTGAATGTGGGAGTCCCAGGGCACAGGCTGGCTTCATGCTCACAGCACAGTGCTGCCCCAGGGGGGCACCAGGCACTGCCCCCCGCCACCTGACTCCCGCTCTGCTGGCAGATCCAGCTTTGGAAAGGTTGTTACTGGGAGACCCCTCCCAATTCTGCCTCCGTGTGACACCGAGGGGTCCCCGGGGGTCAGTGCTGGACCCACCAGGCAGGGAGTCCTGCCCCCGGGGCCCTTCCCAGGAGCCCCTTTGCCTTCAGCCACACCCTGCCTGCTCCCACCTCCTTGTCAGGCCAGGTCTCTGCCAGTCACAAAGCTGAAAGAGGCTCAGCCTTGGGGCTTCTTCGTGATTGCTCTGGCCCCCAGCCCACCTGGGTGGTGGGAGATGCAGCCCCCAGCCCAAGGGACGCCCTCTGCTCAGCGACAGGTGGCTCTGCTTCGGAAAGCCCACCCCCACTCCCTGTCCTCGTGGGCTGCGTGAAGCAGGTGGGCCCAGGGCTACTTCCATGGGTGCCTGGGCACGGCTGGGTGCTGGCAGGGTGGCAGGTGGTGGGTCCTGTCACCCCACGCCTACCTGTACTGCCCGGGGCTCATGTCTCCAGGCTCTTGGCACTCAGAAGCAGCCTGAGGCACCGTGGGGATCTGGCAGGCGTCCTACGAGTGGGGACATAATGTCTGTCAAGGCCTGCGTGGGCACCGAGGATGCCCTGCCGGGACGGAGCAAACACTTAGCTGACAGCTGGCTTTCCGTGGCAGCAAGGAGCCAAGTCCCCGAGGCCCAGCAGAGATGAGCGCAGAGTGGGCTGCCCTGCCCCTCCGTGCGGGGTGTGACGTCCGGCTCTCGCCACGCGCTTGGGCTCAAATGCCTGTGCCCGTTACTGCACCTCGCGGATTGCCAGCGGCTTGCTCACCCCGACGTTAGATCAAGCTGGCAGCACAGAGGGGCACGGCTTCTGGCTGGTGCTCCCGGAGCGGAGTCCACACGGAAGCCTTGCTGCTCCCTCCCGGGGAAGGTTTTCCTGCCCTCCTGTCCCTGGCCATGCCCTTGGTGACCAGTGCCAGCACCACTGCCTTCATCCATAGGGGTCCAGCTCTCCTAGCTTCAGGTTCAGTGCCTCGGGGGAGGGGGGGGAACAACTCCCAAATCCCACTAGCCTGTCATGTTGTCAAGCGTGCCCTGAGCTTGCCGTGGGACGGCGGGGTGCAGCTCCTGGGAACGGGGAGCCCCGGCCTAGGGGTCCACGCCGCCGCCCTGCCTGTGGGGGTCCCAGGGCCACCTGACGCACCCTGCTTAGGAATGAGAGTCAGAGTGTTTATGTGGGAGTCGTTGCTGATGGGAACTGCAGGCGACCGTGGAGTTATCAGTGAGAAGCCGTGCCCCTGGCCCTGTGTGGCCCCATCTCCAACCCCTGGGCTGTGGCAGGCAGCTGAGCCGGGCCTTCAGGGTCGGGGTGGGGTGGCATTGAGGGCTCCCTGCCACTCAGGAGGGCTGCCCTGGCTGGGGCTCAGAGCTCAGAGGACAGGTCACTTCTCCAAGAAGCTCCTCTCGCATGCATCCTCCAGTAGGGTCATTGTCTTCTTAAACCACAGACGGGTCTGGAAACTGGGGGCACCTCAGGCTCTCAGGAACGGGCCTTTGCTTGCACACTGCCCCGGGGTTCCCGCCGCCTGGTGGGGCTCCGAGGCCTGCATCCCCAAACCGCCCACTGGCCGGCCAGCTGAGGTCCGAGGAACACAGCGGCCAGCGGCCGTGAGGGGCATCTGGGCATCAGTCGCAGTGGGAGAGCTCTGTCTCTCTCTGACTGACTTTCAGATAAACCAGTGCATCACAGGCAGTGACCCCCATGTCTTGTCTGTCCCCCCAGGCATCAGCGGCGGGCCCCTGGCAAACCACTACCGGCTGAAGCAGTTCCATTTCCACTGGGGAGCGGCAGACGAGCGTGGCTCCGAGCACGTGGTGGCTGGCCGCGCGTACCCGGCAGAGGTGTGTAGACGTGCCTGCCGCCCGGGAGGGGCCGGTCAGTTACTGCTCCAGGGGCAGCCCAGCTGGGCAGCGGGGGGGGTGGGCAGCCCTTGGCCTTTCACTCGCAGTGCCCACGGCCCCTTGGGATCCCCGTGTGCGCAGCGGGGACTTCCCATCATGGTCCCAGGCAGGAGTCGGGGCGCAAGGCCGGTGGGGTCTTGCAGGTCTCCCCCGGTGTGTGACCCAGAGCAGACAGGAAACAACTTGTATCGTTGTTCTGTCGGCCATTAGCCCTATCCAACGAGCCCCTGCACCCTGAATTCTGGTGTGTTCCACGTTGCCCACTCCTCTGGCTCCCACTGGCCATGGGGGGAATGTCCCGGGGAGGGTGCCCTGTGCCATCCACCGGTGGGGCCCTGGGCACCTCTGCCACAGGGAGCTGCAGCTGTGCTGGAATCCCACACGCAGGGGTGTGGTCGCCCACGGGAGGGCTTTTGTCACCTCAGGAGCGGACCCTGGAATGCAGGGGCGAGGCCCGACTGCCCCAGTGGATGCTGCAGCCACCGAGAGGCTGGGGAACTGGAGGAGCAGAGTGGGGCAGTGACACGGAGGGGGCCGGGGGGCACGGACGTGGGAGGAGGTGGCCAGTGTGTCTGGAGCACGCCCACAGCGTCAGTGGTCGACCTTGAGCACCAATCAGGGTCCTTGGTTGACCTGGTGGTTCTAGTTCAGGGCTGAAGGAGGGGCAGCTGAGAAAGAAGCCAGCAGCCCCCCGAAAACCAGATGTAGTTACACGGGGGGAGGGGTCTTTATTTTAGCAAGGGAGGTGGCTGTGGAGAAAGAGGAAGCAGAGAGACAGGTGGTGGAGAAAGAGAGAGAAGGAGAGAGACAGACAGCCAGCGTGGGTCCACTTCCACACGTCAGGGTGACACAGGGGGACATGGCTGCCCAGGCGTGCAGAGCTGGGCTTCTATCCGGCTTAGCTGTGGGGCATGGGCAGGGGCAGCTCCTCTGCAGGTGCTCGTGACCCTGATGTGTCACGGTGGGTGTTGATCTGTGCAGTCTCGGCATTGGGAACATTTCGGGATGGGAGTGTCTGCTCGAGCTCAGCAGAGAGCAGTGAGGCTGAAGCTTTCTGCCGTTGCTGGTGGCCAGCCGGCAGCGGGAAGGACGAGGGCGCCAGGGCTCGGCCGGCTGTACCACGAGTTCCCGGCTTCAGATAAGCTTGCTTGACCCTGATGTACTCAGTTCCTTTAGGAGTCACTTCTGCTCGGCCCCACAGCAGGGGAGGAGGGGTCCGCCTGCCAGGCTGCAGCAAACTCAGGCCCTCGCAATGCCGAGACGGGGAGTGGGTGTCCGGGTTTGCTAGCTCTGCTCGGCATGCCAGACGAACACTGAAAGGCAGCGGGTTCAGGCGGGTGCGTTTCCAGCCCTGGAGCCCCCGTTTCAGGCCCAGCGCGGTCCTGTAGCTGTTTGTAGTGCCTGGAGCATCACCCAGCAGACACACACACACATGCTTAGACAGTGTGCCACGAGGAGGAGGCGGTGAGTCTGAGCTCTCTGTCCGGCCCGTTTTAGCTGCACCTGGTCCACTGGAACCCAGCGAGATACCGGAGCTACGAGGCAGCCGTGCGGGGCGAGCAGGGACTGGCAGTGCTTGCAGTGTTCCTTCAGGTGACGGCTGGGGAGGGGAGTCCCCTGCACCGTGGGCTGAGGGCGACACTGGTGTCCATCCTGATGGTGCTGTGTCTGCCGTGCAGCTGGGGGCCCGTCACCAGGCCCTGCAGGAGCTGGTGGACATCCTGCCAGCCATCAAGCATAAGGTGAGCCACATGGTCCCCTCTGCAGGGACAGAACCAGAGCAGCCAGGGAGGAGTCCCCCAGCGGGGCTGCCCCTCTGGGCCTCCCCGGCCTCTCGTCCTGGGCATGACCTGAGCCTGTTTTACAGCAGGTGGCGCTGGAGAGCTCCGTGCTGGCCCTTGGGCAGCACACGCTGCCCCAGCTTGCCCTGGCCAGCCCTGGCGCCCGCAAGGACCCCGAGGGGGAAGAGGGCAGGGGGGGGGCCTTTGAGGAGCAGAGGTCGAGGTGGGGCTTGTTTACTCAGGCCCCACAAAGACCGGGGCGGAGGGAGGTTCCCACCTGTGCGAACAATGCAAGGCTACACAAAGGACAGCCACCCTTCCTGGGGTGTTTGATGTGCCCGGGGCTCCCCTTGATGTCCCTTCCAGCGGGGCTCAGGAACTCCTCAAGGCCTCGGGCCTGGGGCCTCTTCCTTGCTGGGCCACAGCCGGGGCCAGCTGGGCTGTGGGATGTTTTCCCAGCCCTGTCCACCTTCCGCATAGTAGGAAGGGAGAGTTGGACCTGCTGCCCTTCCCCGGAGGGCCTCCTTCCGCCCTGCTCCGCAGGCCAGCCACACACACCACGCTGGGCCTCACTGCCCTTGCCGGGGAAGGAGGCAAGGCCAGACTGGGTCTCTTGGGGGGCTTCTGGGAGTTCCTTCCCATCCCTGGGTAGACTGGGGTGTCAGCGCCTCCACGTCCAAGGACCTCGACCTCACTAAGCCTCAGTTTGCTCCTCCGTGGAGTGGTGACCAGTCCACTCCCATGGCCTCTCGGGGCCTCCCAGGGGACTGTCCCCTCACTGAGGGGGGACCTGCCTTTCTTGGTGCCTGCCATGGGCATGTGTGGGGCGCCTCCGGGCAGCAGCCTGCCCCAGTCCCAGGCGGAAGTGGAGGTGTCCCCCACTAAGGCTCTGCCCCCACCTGTCTGTGGTCTTGACCCTGCCTGGATTCCTTCCGCACAGCCACACTCACAGCGTCCTGCTCCGGGCAGCCACCTCAGTCCCTGTGGATGTGTGGGCAGGCACCGGGGGCCCATCTGCAGAGTGGGTGCCCAGTGTAGCTGGCACATGTGTGGCCTTGGGGGTTTGCTCCACGGAACCAGCCAGCTGGGATATCCTGTGGGTTCTGCTCACACACTGTCCCTCTGCAGCCAGGGTCATGTGGGCAGCGGGCAGGCAGTGTGTGGACGGGACAGAGCTGCCTTTCGGGGAGCTGGCAAAGCTTCAGGAATGGGGTGCCGGTGGCTGCTCCCCGCGCGTGGTGAGGAGACTCCCTTTGGGGATGTGTGGACTCCCCACAGCCTTCACCCTTGAAAGGAAGGCTGCCGGAGGATGGGGTCTCTCGCCTGTGCTTCAGGCACACGCAGCCTGCTGTGGAGGCAGAGGCTGCAATGGCCCCTTCCCGCAGCCTGCTGTGGAGGCAGAGGCTGCACTGGCCCTTTCCCGCAGCGCCAGGGCCACCGGCTCACACGGCCCATGCTCCTTGTTTTCTCAGGGTATGCGGGCAGCCATGGGTCCCTTCGACCCCTCCTGTTTGCTGCCCACCTGTCAGGATTACTGGACCTACGCGGGCTCCCTCACCACCCCGCCACTGACCGAGTCAGTCACCTGGCTCATTTACAAGGAACCCATCGAGGTGGCCCAGGAGCAGGTGAGCTGGGATGCGGCCAGCAGGTCGCCGAGGGATGGCCTGGTGTGGTCTTCACTGAGCCATGGGGGCTGGCGCCTGGGCTTTGTGGACGCCCTGTGACAGGTGGCAGTGATCTCAGCCCCTCTCATATGAGCAAGGCCGGCACAGGCGGTGCGGGATGGTCTCATGCCATCCTGTCTGGTCCTCCGTGTTTGGGATTCAGGTGTGCGACCCCTGAGGACACACAGTGACACAGGCCCGAACTCACCCTCTGCCTGTGACCTGTGAAGTGACCTGGTTGCTGGCAGGTGAACAGGGGCGGGAGTCACTCCCTTGGGGGTCATCAGAATACCCCTGGTGTGTGAGAGCCGGCCTGCGGGTCCCTAAGAGAGAGAGGCCCCAGAACTGCCCAGGGCTCATGGGAAGTGTGCTCACTACCACCCCCATGTGGCAGTCATCAGCAGGGTTCTTTGGGCACTGGGGGGCTCTGGCTCGCAGTCCCTGGTGGAAATGCAGGAGATGTCTCTGATCTAAAGTCTTGGCTGGACAGGAGGACTCGTTCCCACACACATGGCTGGGCCCCAGTTCCTGTCCACGTGGGCTTCTCTGTGGGGCACCTGTGCTCACTTCCAACATGGCCCTGGCCACTCTAGGGCTCAGGACTTGTCCTCAGTGGGAGCTGCAGATCTGTGAGGGCCTGACCTGGGAGCCTCATGCTGCCCCATCGACCCACTCTGTGGGTCCCTTGGGCCCTCCCTGATCCCGGGCCGGAGGCTGGGTGCTGCACGGTCCATGCCTGCTGCTTTCCCACCTGCTCTCTCCATCGCAGCTGTCGGCCTTCCGCAGGCTGCTGTTCTCAGCTCCCGGGGAAGAGGAGCGTCTGATGGCCGACAACCATCGCCCGCTGCAGCCGCTGATGGGCCGGCAGGTCCGCGCATCCTTCCTGGCTGTGGGAGAGGGCCGCTCGCGGTCACTCTATCCAGAGGGGTAGGCAGCACTGTGCCCCCAGCTCACGATCCGGCCACGTGTGCTGCTGAGATAAAGAGAACAAAGTCATTGCTGGGCTTGCTGTCATGCCACACACACTGACTACAGTGGGAATGGGGCACCAGTGCCAGGGGTGTGAGGCAGGCGTGGTAGGCCTGGGGTCTGATCCAGACAGGTGCAAGGTAGGCCTGGAGACCCGGGCAGGTGCGTGGTGGCTCTGGGGTCTGAGCGGTCGCCGCTGACCTGGGCAGTCACTCTCAGTCTCTCTACACTGTGTCCTGTGTTCCTGCCCATCTCGTGGCTGGTTCCTGTGGCAGGCTGCAGGGTGAGGCCTGCGGTCTTGCTGGCCATGGTGTCCTGCTGTGAGGCCCGAGTGCTGGGGACCCGGATATGAGGTTGAGCCCCTGAGGACGGGGCGGGGCCAAGCGCAGCCACACTTGGCACCTCAGGGCTGCCGGCCTGGGGCGTGAGCCCCCAGTCAAGCTGGGGAGAGGACATCAAGCCAGCTGCTGGACACTGTGCTCAGGCCGGACACTGCCCTGGTGCGGACGCGCGCGGGTGGGCGCTGTCCTGGTGCAGATGCTGCCCTGGTGTGGACGCGCGCGGGTGGGCGCTGTCCTGGTGCGGATGCGCGCGGGTGGGCGCTGTCCTGGTGTGGACACACTCAGCATGGACATGCTCCGTGTGGATCTGTGCTCAGGGATGCCGTGCTCAGCTCCTTCTGGAGGCTCGGGCTGGAGGAAGGGGGAAAGAAGTGAGATTCTTGTGGTCTCTGCTTCCCATTGCCTGCCCCTTCTTTCAGGGACCCTGTGGTGGCCTGGACCCTAAACCAGCCAGGACCCTTAGCTGGGCAGCCTAAACCACACCTGTGTGTCCTCTGGGCTGGGCGGGAGGGGTGGCCAGGAAGCCGTGGCCCACAGTCAGCCACAGTGGCTGCGGGAAGGACACTGCATCTATGGACGGCCACCTGCTGGATTAGGGTTGGGGTCAGGGTTGCCATGTCCACAGAGACTTGGGGCAGAAAGGCCCAGGATGCACAGGGGCCACTGGGCAGGGGGAAGGTGGGAGGGGCGGGTGCCACGGCAGTCAGGTTACGGCCCCCGCTCACACCAGGCCTGGCATGGCACAGGCCTCGGGAGTGGCACCCAGGGAGCGCCAGCCTCTCTGCCCCCAGCAAAAGTGCTCTTCAGGCCCAGCGCAGCAGCCATGGGCTGACTCCTTGCTGGCAACCACTGCGCTCCCCATGGGCGCTGGTTCGTGTCCTGGTTGCTCCACTTCTCTTCCAGCTCCCTGCCTATGGCCTAGAGGGCTCAAAGGCTTGGGACCATGTGTCCGTGTGGGAGACCCAGCTGAGCCTGTTGGCTCCTGGCTTCAGATCAGCTCAGCTCTGGCCACTTGCACAGTGAACCAACGGACTGAAGATCTTTTTCTCCTTTTCTGTGTAAATCTGACTTTCCAATAAAAATAAACCTTTTATTAAAAAGTTGCTCTTCATCGGGGTGCTTTTGGAAATTGAGTTCCCGTGCCACCCGTCAGATTTTGAGACACCCTGTAAGAGCAGACCCAGCCTGGACACGTCACTACAAAACCACATATCAACGGGAAGAGGAGCCGTTGGCCGGAGCCTCAAAGGCAGCCGCAGGAAAAGCAGAAGCGCTCCTGGCCAGCAGCCAGATGCACAAGGCGTCGGGGCATCCAGGAACGCCTGGCCCTTTAAGGTTTCCTGACTTTGCTTTTATGTTATTTTCTCATTTTGATAAATGCCAGCGTGTGAGAAACTGCCTGTTCCTGGCAGGCTGCCCTGTTCCCATCCCCACGCTCCGAGCACACGTGGCCAGGCCTGTCCGGAGCCCTTGATGCTGTGGGCAGAACCCGCACTTCTCGTGCGCTGGCCCCACCCCGTGCCACCCAGGGCTCATCCACCCGCTCGGGGGTCCCATCTCCCGCCCACCACCCTCCACCTGCGGTACCTTGCTCAGTACCGCTGAACCACGTCTCAGCCACCAGCCCCTCTCTCTCCAGGGCCAAGCAGACCTGGAATCCTCCTGGCCCCACATCCAGGGCAGCCTCATATTGGAGGGGCCACATGCCAGCTCTGCCTTCTCTCCTGCCCCCCCACTCAGCTTCACCCCCACCCTCCACACTTCTCTCCCGAGAACATCAGCTTGGTCCCCTTGCTGTCCCAAGCCAAGGTTTCCCCAGATGTCTGGGACTCGGCCCTAGCTTTTCCCTCCAGGCCCCAAGCCCTGCGTCCACCTGCCACTTCAGACGGCAAAATCGTGAGACTGACCACCCAGAAGCTAGCCTGGCCAAGATGCTCAGAGTCTGTGCTCCTGCGTGCTGCTGGTCCAGGAGGATCCACAGCCCCCGGCCCAGGTCCCTGCGAAGCTGCTGCGGGATGCCCCTCCAGGATACAGGTGTATACGCACCTGCCGGGAGGTACCACTCCCTCTTTGCAGCCAGGAGATTTCACCTGGATGAGCCAGTGGACGGGACTTGGCCACCAAGCACCCTGCAGTTCTGGGTTCAGGAGAAAGTGCTCGTGGCTGCCATGTGCCTAAAAACCAACACCCCCTCGGCCTGCTCCACCCTGTGGCAGGAGACCGAGGGCTGTCAGGCTGGGCTCACGAGGACAAGCAGGACCTGTGAGGACCGGACATGAGGCACAGGACACAGCCTTGGCAGACCTGGGGACTGTGGGGAACAGGTGAGATTCAGCCTGCAGGAAAGCAGCCAGCCAGCAGAGGGCGGCCTCTGCTCAGGGTGGAGAGTTTGGTCTCCAAGCTGTGCTGGGTCCCAGCAGCAGTCAGATTCAGGCGCCAGGTGGACCGTGGAAATGCTCACGGGTTGTTGTCCCCTAACCCCCACCCCCGCGGGGGAGCTGCTTCCGGGGTCCCCAGCTCACAAGGGCTGGGACGGGGGGCTCTGTGACCTCTCGCTTCCCCCTCGGGCGCTCTCGGCCCCAGCAGGAGCTGGCAGGCCCTGCCTGGCACCTGGCAGCCGGCAGGGCCCGGGGCTCAGCTGCTGTAACTTCAGCCCCCAGGCTCGCCCCTCTCACCCTCGTGGGAGACCAGCTTGGAGATCCTGGCTCCTGGTCCAGCAGCCATCTGCGGAGTGGACCAGCGGATGGAAGATCTCTCTCGTTCTGCTTTCCAGAGCCAACACTGTGACACTTCTGGGTATACTGCATCCCACAGGGGCGCCAGTTCAAGCCCTGGCTGCTCTGCTTCAGGTTCAACTCGTTAATATCTGGAAGCAATAGCCGATGGTCTCTGTCGCCACGTGAAATTCCTGCCTCCTGGCTTTGGTCCAGCTCAGCCCTGGCCGTTGTGGCCGAACCAAGGGGTGGGAGATCCCTCCCTCTCTGTCATCAATAATCCTGTTTATAAAAAGCTTATGGAAAAGTGGAATTAAAGAATGTTTATTTTGAAATCAGAAGTCCCTGCATAGTTTATTCCTCATATGTATCTTCTGGGAACTCCTTGAAGACTTGGAAATCTGCACCAAAAAGTGTCTCCAGGCTACATGTCCCACTAGCGTTGGGAAGCGTTCTCTCCCTGGGAGGGACAGCCTTGGGGTGGGAGCCACTAGGGAGGGGACCGGTGACTCAAAGGCCTGCCCGGCCAGGACAGGGCTGTGCCCACTGCTGGTCAAACAAGTGCCACCCCCGGCTGGCCTCTCACAGGGTGGCACCTGCTGGGTCCCCCTGCAGGGGCAGATTTTCCTGGCTCGACCCTGGTCCCCCCAGCAGTCCTACAGGGCACCTTAACGCCCCCCTAGCCCTCCACTTGCCAAGGCACTGTTAGCTAGTCAGCTGGTGAGTGATCTTCCAGCTGGCCCCACCACCTGCCCTGGGGCTGCAGCCGCAGGAGCAGAGGTGCAGGAGGGCAGGGTCCCCTGAGCACCCTCACTCTGGGGCTGGCCCTGCATCCCCGTCTGCGCCTCCCCGCCCTCCAGCATCTCCCTCCAGCAGCCCGAGCCCATGCCCACTGCGCGGCCACCTGGCCCTCGGCCAGCGCGGACCCGGCGCCCCCCGGCTGTGGGGCAGGGGCGGGGCCTCGGGCGGGGCGGGGCCTCGGCGGGCGCGCCGGCCAACGGGCGGCGGCGGCGGGCGCGGGGCGTGGCCTGGGCGGCCGCAAGGACATAAAAGGCGGCGCGCGGGCGGGCGCTGGCTGACGCAGGGCGCGCGGGCAGCTGGGCAGCCGGGCGGGCATGGCGGGCGCGGGCCCGAAGCGGCGTGCGGCGGCGGCGGCGGCCCCGGCCAGGCAGGAGGAGCAGCAGGCGCGGGAGAAGATGCTGGGGGCGGCGGGGCGCGAGGCCGCCGAGGGGGGCGAGGGCGTGGCCCTGCAGCGCAACATCACGCTGCTCAATGGCGTGGCCATCATCGTGGGCACCATCATCGGCTCGGGCATCTTCGTGACGCCCACCGGCGTGCTCAAGGAGGCCGGCTCGCCGGGGCTGTCGCTGGTCGTGTGGGCCGTGTGCGGCGTCTTCTCCATCGTGGGCGCTCTGTGCTACGCCGAGCTGGGCACCACCATCACCAAGTCCGGCGGCGATTACGCGTACATGCTCGAGGTCTACGGCTCGCTGCCCGCCTTCCTCAAGCTCTGGATCGAGCTGCTCATCATCCGGCCCTCGTCGCAGTACATCGTGGCGCTCGTCTTCGCCACCTACCTGCTCAAGCCCGTCTTTCCCACCTGCCCCGTGCCCGAGGAGGCCGCCAAGCTCGTGGCCTGCCTCTGCGTGCGTGAGTAGGGGCCCCGGGGTGGGGCGGTGGCGTCCCCGGGTCCCGCCTCGGCGCGCACCCCTGGGGCCCCGCCAGCTGCCGCGCGCCGCTCTCCATTCATTCCGGGCCAGCCCCTGGGGGGCGCGGCTGGGCTGGGGGAGACCCCGGCCCGGCCCCCGCGCGCGCTCTGCGCGGCACGTGGGCGCGCCTGGCCCTGTCTAGCAATAGCCCGTGCGGATTGCAAGCGCACACCACGTGGAGCGGCTGAGCACTTCCTGTCTGGGTTCTCTGAACTCAGTGACTGCTCAGGCGGAATCGCAGTTATTAAACACACACACACGCACACACACGCATTCATTTCTGCCCTTGCCACAGCGCGCGGGCAGACTGTGAGGGAAGCTGGGGAGGGAGCCCCACTGATTCAGGCTCCTGTGCCAGGCATCCAGACAAGGGGTCCTGTGCCCCAAGCGGTGTACCCGTGCCCTCCGCTTTTTGGCCCGAGGCGGTTTCTCGGCTCACCCTCTGGCCAACCTTGGCAGCCCGAGGCTTGTGCACTGAGCGAGGCCAGCTGGCCTGACCACTGGGCCCCGGGGAACTTGGCGGTGCTGTTGGGTGGTCTGGAGGGCCTGGGGCGAGCGTGAGACCCTGCCCTGAGGGAGGGCCGGGTCAGGACTGTGGGGGCGAGGAGGCCCCAGGATGGCGCGCTGGCCTGGCTGTGAGTGCTGGCTTGGCGGCCTTCCACATCCAGTCTTGTGGGCGCGCGGGTGCTGGGCAGGCGTGGGAAAGGCCTCGGAAGTGACCAAGGGTGGAACTTTCCTCATTTTGTCTTTTGAATGCGTGAGGACTCCATGAGGCCCCATGCCTCCCCGTCAGCCCGCCTCCAGATATGCGGCCCACAGTGTATCCTTCTGGAACGTTCCCTGCCCCTCTCCCCAGGGTGTTCTTGCTCTTGTTGCCTCAGGGACAACTTGTCCTCCACCTTCTCTTCCTTGAGGCTTGTTCTGGTGCAGGACATGCGGGTCTGTGGCCCTTCCTGGGGGTGCCGCCGGGCCCCCGGGGGCCAGGTCCGGGTCCAGAGTTCCCTGGGACTCTGTCATGGTTCCCCCAGCCAGTGCCGAGCCAGGGCGAGGTCCGCAGGCGTCACGGGCTGTGGGAAGGCCCCGGCGTTCGGCCTCGCAAGCCGCCCGAGCACCAGTGGACGGTGGAGAGCGGCAGAAACATCCAGCGCTTCTGCCTTTAGTCTTGACGCTTTCCGAGATCCACGGTCACTCACCTGAAAGCTTCCCTCCGCCAGTGCCGGCCAGGCTCGAGCTGGGAGCCCAGAACTTCTTCTGGGTCTACTTCATGGTTGAGGGAGTCCCCACGCTTGACCTATCACCCACCGCCCCTTGGGGTGTCGGGAGTGGTGCTGGGGCATTCCAGGTGGCAGTTTGGCCAACGCCATCTCTGGGGTCGCTGCTGACCTGGCCTTGCGAGAGGCTTCCAGGGGGTTGCAGGCTGCCTCGAGAGGGGTGGAGGGCGTGCGATACGGGGCACGGCTCGCGGGTGCTGGCTGCGGCTTCACTGAAACGCCTTGGGCCAACGAGAGGCTGGTCCAGCCCTGGGTGGGCGCTGTCCTCGGGGGCCGTGGAACTGCTATGAGTGACATGGGCAGTGGTCAGGGGTCACACGCTCACTGGCTCGGGGAGCTGAAGTTGACTCTGGGCCCTGGGATGGGGCTGCCGCGCCCCCTGGCAGGTGGACGTGGAGGCCTGGCTCTGTTGCCCAGGTGCCTCTGGCCAGGCACAGAGCTAGGGCCCGAGGGGGCCCTGAGTCTCTGAGAAGTAGATCACTGTGCTGGCGGTCTCACAGAGAGAGCTCTGGGCCCTGCCCGTGCCACCTTAGCCCGTGGGCCCTGTGACCTGAGAGCCGCCGGGACCCTTCTCGGCCTCCTGTCTGTGGAATGGCAGCATGCTCGCCAGCCTGGCCGAGGCGAGAGTTCCAGGCCCTTGTGCGGCACGTGACACCAGGGCTCTCGCATGCTGCCCACATCTGTCCAGCAATCCTGCAAGTTGTCTGGTTCTTCCAAAGGGAGGAGGTGTGCTGGAGGGGGCAGGGAGCCCCCGGCTCATGCCCTGCGCCTTCTCCAGCTAGAGGTGCCTTTGCTGCGCCCCGCCCGGGGAGCTCAGGGCTCGAGGTGACTGCTGGATTAGCCCTGGTCAGCTGATTAGAAGGTCAGCCATGGTCACTGCCAGAGAGGGGCCTATGGCCTCCGGTCCCCGTTCCATGTTGAGGGCCCCTCTTCCCCCGCAGCCCCCACTCCTCGATGAGGCTCTGGGTGGTTCCCTGGCGCCAGACAGGCCCGAGCTTCTCTGCAGCCGGGCAATTAGTGCTGGGACCCGCCTTTGCCGGCCCGCCTCAGCCGGTCACGCCAATCACGGGATCTGGGGCAGCAGCCCGCCTGGTGCTTCACAAAGCGCGTGATCCCCAGGCACACGGGAGACCCTTCTTTCCCGGGTCACAGGCTCTTTGATAACCCCAGAGGAGCTGCGGACGCCTGCCCCGCTGGCCTGGGCTCCTCGGGCCAGGGTGAGCAAAGGCTCTGGGAGCGGTGTCCCTTAGGCTGCGAGCTCGGATGCCTTGCTCTCCATGCCGGTCTGCAGTTGGTGCTGTTCCATCTTATGACTGGGAACACCAAGGCGGGAGCAGGTGTCAGGACAATGGCGCCCACGCTGCCCACTGCCCATCATCAGGCTGCCCGTTCGGGGCCGGTGCTTGTCGCCATGTCCAGGCCCTGGACTCTCCGCCCCACACTGTGCTGTCCCCTTCCACCTGGTGCCCCGCTGCCCCAGGGGGACTCGGGTCCAGCAGCCCCTTCCTGCATTCAGCTAGCTGCTCAGGAGGTGGACACTGGCAAGGGGCACCTGTGAGTCAGAGAGGCGTGGCCAGGCCTGGCCCGCCCCGCTGGACTGGCATCTGCCGGCTGTGTGAGGAATTAGCACCGATTCCCCAGAGGAGTTCTGGAGCGCGGTGCGAGCAACCCGACCTGCCCGGGTCAGCCTGACCTTCCGTCGGCAGAAATCTGGCAGGCAGGAGCTGTGTGCGCTGCCCAGCGTGCAGCTGATTCAGAGCCGAGGCCAGCAGTGCAGCCCGGCTCGCCCAGCACTGAGCCCCTGTGCGTGCGCACAGCAGACTGGCGAGCAGGAGGCCCTGCCTGTGGCCCGCCTGGCCCTTCTGCGTGGGGCCCCGGTGCGGCCTGTGGAGCTGCTGCGGGAAGCCCCAGTGGGTCCTGGAAGCGTGCTTGCCGGCACCCCTCCCCCAGGCCTATGTTGCTGATTCGGGAACCCCAGGGGTGCAGAAGCTGTGTGCCATGTAATCCTGGCCGCTCTCACATTGAGCCAAGCTCCTGACTGTTTCACAGATGTTGCTGGTGCCGGGCCGTGAATTGGTCCTGGGGGAGCTGTGCGGTCATCCCGCCATCCTGTGCTGCCCTCAGAGGACCAGGGTGGAGGAAGGGGCTCAGGAGACCTGGGGGGGTCCTCCACTCCCTGGGCTGCACAGCACGCTGACCCCGCTGTCACGGGGATGCCGCCGAGTCCTTGTCCCAAGTCTAGTGGGTTCTTCTCAACTGGTCTTGCTGTTGGAGGGACGGAGCGTTCAGGCCCAAGCAGGCACGCCAAGTGTCCTCGGGGCCTTAGACCGGGCGCCCGATGCATGTCTGCGGGCCGTTTGCCAGAGGGAGCGGACTGAAGCCACCCTGCCTGTCAGAGCCCCAGCCCTTTCCCCCATGGGAGCCTGCCACTCACAGGCCTGCCTTGCCACCCCGGGCTGTGACAGCCACAGCGTGTGGAGCTGTGCAGTCGGCTGGTCAGCCGCCAGCTCCTCTGTCCCTCGACCTTTTGGCCGTGTGGCACGTATACCTCGGCTCCCGAATGTGATGCTTGCGGCCCAAGCTGGGGGTCTCTGTTGACCATGTTGGATGGGAGGGGCGTCCCCTTGGCTGGAGGCGCCCATCTCCGTGGCCATGGCTGGCGGCTCAGCCTTCCTTCTGGAGGCCAGGTCAGGCCTGGGAAAGCTGCCACCCCTCCCCGAGATTGGGGTGTCCGCCTAGGTGGGGACCAGGGATTCACTTGTCTCCGAGGCATCTGTTATTCTGGGGGAATCCGACAGTGCGTCTGAGGGGGAGGCGGATGGCACCCCTGCCCAGAGGAACCCTGGGCCTGGAAAGGCCAGGCAGCCACCTCTGCCACATGTGCTTTGGTGCCTACTGTGTATGCTGGGCAAGGCCCAGAGTGCCCGGGGCAGGCCACTAGCTAGCAGTCCCCCAGTCAGCTGCTGTACTTGGCATGCCTGGGTGTCCAGGCTGGCCACTTCCCCTGTCCTGACCAGGTCGTGTGGTGCCACTGCTGGTGGTCCCTCTCAGGGACCGTGTGGTCCTCACCTGCCTGGCAGCTTTGCCCCTTTTCACTGAGTCTGCCAGTGATGCCAGCAGCACACCTGCTGAAGTGGGCGGAGGCTGCTTGCCTGTACTGGTGCCATGCTCCGAGTGGACACTGGGCACCCTCTGGGTGTGACCTCTGACCTTGCTCAGGTACCTGATACCTGGTGCTGCTGGTAAGACCCAGGCCCTGCTGGGGCCACCGCTTACACGGCCACCCTCTCGATGGGCAGGGCTGTGGGGGCTGCGTGGGGCTCCACGCTTGGGTCCTGGGTCACTGTCCCTTCCTGGGCTTTGGCCAGCCCCGCTCACCAGGCAGAGCCCAAGTTGGAGGTGTGACGGGTAGTCTCCCAGAAGAGGTCCCGTCCTGCTGGGCTGCACAGCTGGGTCAGCTGGGGTTTCCTTCCACGGGGCAGCCCTCGGTGGGCCCGAGGGAGTGGCAGAAGGCACAGATCAGAGCTCAGCTCCTGTCACCCTACCAGCCAGGAAGAAGAGAGACGGCTCAGTCAGCCCTTATCTGCTGGTCCTGCTGTGCCTGTGGGCCAGGCAGCTGTGCTTATCTGGGGCTGCCCGGGGCAGGGGCAGAGCTACGCCCTGCTCTGCTGGGGGCACAGCTGCTACCTCCCAGCCCCCACGTCCGGGGCGGTGGCCGAGTCCCCCCAGTCTTGGGGAGTGATGAAGGGGTACAGGGCCCAGGTGTACTGATTTGTTTATTTACATTTACTTTGAAATGTCAAGACAAAGAGCCCTGGGACCAAGACTTTGTTCACATGCTCTTCAAAGTCACTGAGCTTTGAAACTTCTTGTTTGTTTTTTTATTTATTTATAGAAGGAAAACACGGGAAAGACCCTTGTTCTGTCAAGGCAGCCATGCCCCCTGACTCGCACGTCCCTGGCTGTGTGTAGGGACACCTGCTTTTGTCCCTATCCGGGCAGCCTGCCCCCCATCCACCCCCGCCCTGGGGACTTTCTCAGGGCACCTGCATGAGGTGGTGGCCAGTGTGGTGGCACCAGACCACGGGTGGCATCCCAGAGTGAGGGCAAGTGGATTCTGAGAGGCTTGGGGTCTTGTCCGTGGGGTGCAGGGAGACTCCGGAAAGGGGGTACCTGGGCAAGGTGCCAGCTGCCATGCCATGCTCCTCTGGCTCCCACAGCCCGCCCATTGTGGTGGGGAAAAAAGGCTTGTGGAAGTGTCTGGGCTGCCAGCTGCCAGCCGCAGGCTGAATGCGATCGTTGAGTGATGCAATCCTCCAGCCGCTTGCAAGCGTAGGGGCGGGCCCAGCTGGGGAGGCGGGGTGCTGCGTCTGGCCCCAGGAGCGGGGTGGCGTCGGCAGAGCTGGCTCCTGGATGAGTCCTCTGAGACTTGGGGAAACAGAACATTTAAAAAACAAGTATCAGAGACACAGAAATCCTGCTCCCGTGAGATCACCTCCCAGGCGCCTGAGCCAGGCTGGAGCACCAGCCCAGGCACGTGGACCACGCTGCCCTGCTGCCTCCCAGGGAGCCGGCTGGGACTGGTCAGGGCTGCAGGTGACCCCCGTCCCATCCTGTGGGTGCCCTCCACGCTGAGCTTCTCCAGGTTTCACGCCCTGGCAAGCTGGCCCCGGTGCCTGTGTGTGCCCTGGAGAAGGGCCTGGGCACCAGTCCTGCCCGCCAGGCAGCTCCCAGGTTTTCTGTCTTCTGAGCCAGCAGCTCTCGTCTGCTGGTTGGCCTGTGGTGCTGGGGCCTGAGGTCAGGGCTTGGCAGGCGAGCTGTGGCCACAAAGGTGGCCCTAAGGCTCCCTTGGAGGGGATGCCCTGCTTAGACCCCAAGGAGTGTCCCGGCTGGGGTGGACATGGCCCTGCTCCAGGTGCTGCTGTCCCTGGAGCCCCAGGCCGTACAGCAGCAAGGAGTCCTAGAAGCTAGATTTCAGCTCAGTGATGGCTAGCAGCCCACCTGCCCACCCACCCTTACATGGGGTGTCTGGGATTCTTCCCAGGAGCTGCCAGACAGCCCTTCGGGGTGCACCATAACGCTTCCAACCTGCATGCCCACTCCTCGTGGCCGTCCACAGGGATGCTGCCCTCACTGCCAGCCCCGTCACCAGGGACGCTCCCCCTGGAGAAGGGCCCTGCCAGCCACGCTGCAGCCGGGGGGCTCTGCCTGTCGCATAAATAAAAATCCATGTCTGTTTAAAAGGAGATTCTTTTGGTCGTGGTGTTGCAAAAGCTTCATGCTTTCATCCTTAACTGAGAGGTGGGAGCACTCTGCTGCAGCTGGCCGTGGCACCTGCCTGCCGGGCCTCACACTGCCCTCTGTCCTCACAGTGCTGCTCACAGCCGTGAACTGCTACAGCGTGAGGGCCGCCACGCGTGTCCAGGACGCCTTCGCCGCCGCCAAGCTCCTGGCCCTGGCGCTCATCATCCTGCTGGGGTTCGTCCAGATTGGCAAGGGTGAGTGCTGCTGGTGCCCGTGGGGGATCTGTCCCCGAGGGGCGGGACGGGACTGGCGGGAGCGTGAGGCAGGCACGTGGCCCAGGGGCAGCATGGCATGGGATGGGCAGGCAGCATGGGGCAGGCCAGGGCAACATGGGTTGGGACGGGCAGGCAGCGTCGGGTGGGATGGTAGGGTGGGGCGTGGCACTGGTCCTGAGATACCATGTATGTTCTAACCAGTACCCTCCATGATCACATACTGGTCAGCTCCCCGCATCCTGACCACGGGCTGGTCACTTGGAGCTTGCACAGTTCTTGGGTTTGTCCAGAAAGTGGGGTGCCTGCCTTCGGCCCTGAGCAGGACTGTAGGGGAACCTCCGCCCTCAGGGCTGCTGGGGCCGTGGCACGAGGGCCAGTGCGCTCAGCTGTTCTGGATGCCTGGAGCCCAGGGACACAGCCTTGGAGAGACGCCTGTCTTCAGGGGGTCTGACCATGAGGACTCTTTCCATGCCAGTGCGTGAGGGTGCAGCCGAGTGGGAATGGCTGTGACATGAGGGTGGGGGTCTGGCTGCGTCCACCCTGGTCTGTGGCCACCGGCCCGGTCGCCCAGGAGCCTCCTCACTGGCCCTGGCCTGCCCGCCCTTCCAAGTCTGCTGAAGTCCCCTGGGAGTCAGCCCAGACAGGGCCTGAATGGTGGGAGCTTCTCGAACAGTCCACGGGGAGCCCGGTCCTGTTGCCCTCATGGGGGTCATACCGGGACAGATGGGACGTGGACTGAGGTGCAGCCTGCCAGCCCCGGGTCCTGGGGTGTTCTCAGGCTCAAAGCTGACCACCAGCTCTGGGCCTGGGTGAGGCCTGTGCCCACCTCGGGCTGGGTCTTGCCCTCTGTGCACATGGGGCCAGGCAGGGCGGCTGTGGTCCTGCTGCTGGTGGCCTTCCTGTCCCCTCGGGCGCTGTGTGTGGTGGACCCCTTCAGGGGACCCTGGCCAGCAGGGGCTGTCCTACAGTCTCCAGGTTGCTGTGGCCTCAGTCTTGCAGCCGTCCCCTCCGGCCTCTGAGGGAGGGACTGGAAATGAAGCGGGGTCAGGGCTGCTGGGGCAGTCCCGCTCTGTTCGCCCATCCTGAGGTGCTTCTCCCAGCCTCGCTGGACAGGGTGGACAGAGCTGGCCTGTGCTGCAGGCCAGGGGGAGCCAAGGGCCCTGGCAGTAGGCTGCTGGGGAGGCCTTGGCTGCCACCGCTGCCACAGCCCATGCCTGAGGTAGGGGTGGGGGTCTGGGCTTGACAATGCCTGGTGGCTCCCCTTGTCCACAGCCATTGCCAAATGACCCACTTGCAGGTGGCATATCCCGAGCTACCATCCCCCAGGCCGGGTCCCCTCTGGCTGGGCACCAGGCCCAGACGGCCGTTCCCTCCCTCAGTCCTCTAAGCCAGCCTGGAGCCGAGCTGTGGTCAGAACAGGGCCAGGGGTGGGCAGGCAGAGTCCCGTCCCCCAGCGTGGGTACCCTGGGCCTTAGCGGAGTGTGCCAGCTCCATGATGGCTCGGGGCGTCCGGCCCAGTCAGTGCCCTGGGCCCGCAGCCCTGGCACCTGCTCTTTTGTGTCCGTGGGGACCGGGCAGCCTGTATGTATTTGGTCAGGCGCCCAGGGAGGCTAAGGCCTCGTGCTCTGGGCGGACATCCAGCACAGCCCAGGTCGGTCCCTGCCCACACAGTACTGTGTGTGCTGCGGAGTCTGAATTGGAGCTCTCCCCCACATCCTGTGCCCCCAGGGCCGGGTACAGCCTGGAGGGACTTGAGGTGGCTCCTGAACAGCCGAATGTGTGGCAGGCACGGTCCTGCCCCTCCCACCTGTCGGCTGCTGGAGGTGGTGTGGTCGGGGTGCCTGGATGTGCTGATGGAAGTCTGTGCGTGCCCCCTCAGGAAGGCCTCACCTATCCTGGGCGGATGCTGTCCTCGTGTGGCCATTCTGTCGCTACAGCCCACTGAATCTGTGAGCCATGGGCCAGCCGAGGCCTGTCTGTCTGAGGCGGCAGGGCCCTGGGGTCTGCACCGGCCGCGTCCCCAGGGCCCCAGGGAACGGTAGGGAGCTGAGGCCTGGATCCTCACAGAGCGGAAGGCCTGTATGTACCTCAGTTCCCCACATGTAGGACAGATGTCCCCCCCTCCATGGGCGTGTGGGCCCTGGGGACACAGCCGGGCTTTGACTCAGAGGAGTGGCGCATTCCAGAACATTCTGTGGAAGGCAGACAGGAGGGAGCCAGACAGAGGTGCTGTGGGCGGCCCTGCTGAAAGAAGCCCTGTCCCGAGCTGCTCCCAGCCAGGCCGCTGACCACCGTGTGACCGCCAGGCCTGGGAGAGGGCCTCCCTCGAGGACACAGCCTCTGAAGGAAGATCACGTGCCACTCCGGCCACTTCCTGCCGACCCCATCCTGCCGAGAGGTGGTCACCCTGGGCACAGCCCCCCTGCTGCCCATGTCGCTGGGCTGAGAGGGCCAGGAGCCTCCGGATGAACAGGGGACACGCGTGTGAAGCCGTGATCGGAGTCCAGGCCGTGGACTTGCAGTCGAGTTGGGTCCCGTCCCCGAGTTGTTCTTGCTCTGACCTCTGTGTACCCTGTCTCCCGCAGGCGACGTGTCCAACCTCAACCCCAAGTCCTCCTTTGAAGGCACCAACTGGGATGTGGGGAACATCGTGCTGGCTTTGTACAGCGGCCTCTTTGCCTACGGAGGATGGTGGGTGACCCAGGCTGGGCACCCTGAGGGGGCCCAGGGTGTGGGGGGCCGGGACAGGGAGGCTGAGGAAGGCCGAGCGCCCCGCTGCTGGCCGCCCCCGCTGCTGGCCGCCCCCGCCATCTGCCCTAGGTTCTGGGTCCTACCACCTGCGTAACGGGGTGGGCACCGAGCCTTCAGCTGTGCTCTCTGCTCCTAGGAATTACTTGAATTTCGTCACAGAAGAGATGATCAACCCTTACAGGTAGGTGTCAGGCCCGTGGGGCCATCCCTGCGTCATGGTGGGAGAGGGGTCCCAGCCTCAGTGGGGAGGGCCTGGCGCCGGCACAGGGGTCACGGGCCCTCAGTCGTTGCATGGAACTGTGCGAGTTGGCACTGGATACCCCAGAGAAGTGCCATCACACGTGACTGTGAGCTGACGCCAGAGTGTGTACGTGTGTACGCATGTGTGCACACGGGCCACCTGGGCTGGCAGGGAGGGCTGTGGGCCATCACACTGGGCTACCTGCTGCGCCCTCCGGAACCCTCATAGTCTCCTCAGGAGTCCCTTCTCAGATGGGTCGTCAAGGCCCGCGGTGCAGTGTCTGCCCCGTTGCAGGAAGAGCCATTGGCCGCCCCAGACCCAGAGGAGCCCGGTGGTGTGGGGCCCGGCCCTCAGGTCTGTCCCCTCATCCCGGGCTGTGCTGTGACCGTGTCCCGCGTGTCCCGTCCAGAAACCTGCCCCTGGCCATCATTATCTCCCTGCCCATCGTCACGCTGGTGTACGTGCTCACAAACTTGGCCTACTTCACCACGCTGTCCACTGAGCAGATGTTGACATCAGAGGCCGTGGCCGTGGTAAGACAGTCTGCCCTCCAGCCTCCCAGCAGGTGCCTGGGCAGGCCCAACCACCCAGAGAGTTTAGGCTCAGGGCTGTCACAGCTGGGGTGGAGTCTGCTGGGCTACCGCGGTGGGGGGAGGGCCTTGCCTGCCCTCCTGGGGGTCGTGGGTGGGGAGGGTCTGACACACGAGTGTTGGGAGGCGCCTGCTGCCCCGACGTGAGCATGCCGGTGAGGGCAGCGGGGCCCGGGGCCGTCCACGTGGGGTTGGGTCAAGGCAGCAGGCCAGGCTGGCGCCGCCCTCCTGAGAAAACCTCCAGAGGGGTCGGGCTAGAAGAGGGCTCAGCTCCCCGTCTACCTAGGACTTCGGGAACTACCACCTGGGAGTCATGTCCTGGGTCATCCCCGTCTTCGTGGGTTTGTCCTGCTTCGGCTCAGTCAATGGGTCCCTCTTCACGTCCTCCAGGTGAGTGCCAGCAGCCGCTGCTGCTTAACATTCCCCCGTGCACTTGAAGGGCAGACTGTCAGGGGGCAGAGAGAGCTTCCGTGCACTGGCTCACAGCCCAAGTGCCTGTCACAGCCAGGCCTGGCCCAGGGACGCGTGGCGTCTCCCCCAAGGGTGGCGGGCAGCTGGGCTGGGAGCATGGAGCAGACACCAGCACTGGATCTAAGAGTTGCTGGTGTGGGCTGTGGACCCCCAAGGCGCTGCCGAGCCCCGGCCACTAGCCGCCCAAGCCTGGGCTTTGTTGCCAAGCGACACACAAGGACAGTTGTTACCTCCATTCATGGCCAACCAGGAGCCAGGAGCCCGGCTTGGGCCTCTGCCTGAGGCGACTGGTCTGCCGCATCCTCCCAGGCCTGGGCTGAGCTTGGCACCTCTGTCCACAGGCTGTTCTTCGTGGGGTCCCGGGAGGGCCACCTGCCTTCGATCCTGTCCATGATCCACCCACACCTCCTGACCCCTGTGCCATCACTCGTGTTCACGGTAAGCCTGGGCAGGCTGGCAGCTCCCAGGGACGGCTGCACATGGGTGCCCGTGTTTCAGGGCAGCTGAGGTCTTTCCTGTTTCCAATCTCCAGGGTGATGTGTGTGGGTGTGGCTCACGTGGGTCCACGCGTCTGCCATTGTGAGCTGCCCCCCAGGCCTCTGCAGCCAGCCGCACCCTGTGCCTAGCCCCTGAGCTCTCCCAGGACTCAGTGCTATCTCCCTTCCCGTGGGTCAGGAATTGGGGTTCTGTGTCTCCAGAAAATGGGCTTGGCTACCTCCCAGAGCCAGGGAGAGGGGAGACGGCAAGGAGGGCTGGGTCAGCCCCCACCAAGGTCCCAGGTGAGGCTTGCCACAACCTTGACCTCGCCTCTCGCCCGGCCGCTCACCACAGCCCGCCCTCTCTTCCAGTGTCTCATGACCCTGCTGTATGCCTTCTCCAAAGACATCTTCTCGGTCATCAACTTCTTCAGCTTCTTCAACTGGCTGTGCGTGGCCCTGGCCATCATCGGCATGATCTGGCTCCGCTACAAAAAGCCGGAGCTGGAGCGGCCCATCAAGGTGCGGGTCTCGGCAGACGCAGGCCCACACGGCCCCCTTAGGGCCCCGGAGCTGGCACATACCCTCCGAACGGACTGGATGGTTCACGGACTCAGGGACACCCCGCAGCCCCTCGAGTGCTGCTGTCAGGAAGCTCCACCAGAGCTCGGTCCTGCAGGAGGAGGGAGCAGCGTTAGTGTGGACGTCAGGGTCAGCCGTGTGTGGGGCTGGGTCGTGGGACCACAGAACACCGCAGGCAGCACAGCCATGTGGCTTGCGTGGCCTGGTCTGGCCCTGTGTCCCGGGCACCCTGCCTGTCTGTGGTCTGGGACACTGCCACGCCAGGTGGGGCTGCAGGCCGGCTTGCTCAAGCCCACCCAGTGGCTAAGGGTCTCCCAAAGACCACTCCTCCCTTGTCAGCACTAGCCACAATTTTTGCAGGAGTGCTGGGCACTTGGTCCCCTGCCAGTGACTGCAGTGGAACTGTGGCCAGAGCTCATAGGGACAGGCAGCTGGCCTCCCTCATGATCCCCGGCCGACCCCCGGCCTCCCCATGGTGCCCTGGCCGACCCTGACCTAGACCCCTGCCCTCCCTGTGGTGCCTGAGCGCTGGCTGACCCCTGCCCTCCCCGCTGTGCCCGGGCCGACCCCGTCCTCTCTGTGCTCAGGTGAACCTCGCCCTGCCTGTGTTCTTCATCCTGGCCTGCCTCTTCCTCATCGCTGTGTCTTTCTGGAAGACGCCGGTGGAGTGTGGCATCGGCTTCACCATCATCCTCAGCGGGCTGCCTGTCTACTTCTTCGGGGTCTGGTGGAAGGACAAGCCCAAGTGGCTCCTCCAGGGCATCTGTGAGTGACTCAGCTGCCGGGCCAACCCCTTGCCCGTGGCCTGTCCACCAGTGGGCAGCAGGCCCTGCCCCATGGCCCGTCCACCAGCGGGCAGCAGGATTGCAGGGTTCAGCTCTTTGGCTCAGAACAGGGGCTTCTATGAGACAGAGCAGCACAGCAGCCTCTCCCCTGCACTGCAGGACCCTCCCCCAGCCCTCCCAGAATGCGCCTGCGGAAGACCCAGGGCCCTGGGGGTCCCGCTCACCCAGGCTGCATTGTCTGAATGTAACAACCCCTGAGGAAGGTTCTGGGTGTGGGGTCCTCACGCCGAGGCAGGTCGCTCCCTGCAGGTCTGGGCACGCCCACTGCTCCACACTAAGCTGCCGTCCTTGTTTCACAGTCTCCGCCACGGCCCTGTGCCAGAAGCTGATGCAAGTGGTCCCCCAGGAGACGTAGTCTGGAGAAGACACGGGACACTCCGACCCACGCCCCCTGTCGACACGTCCCCACGGCCGCCCCAGCCCCCTGGCTCCCTCCACAGGCCGTGCAGCCCAGCCACTGTGAGACTGGTACGGATTTGGGTCCTGAGTCCCAGAAGGTGGCTCTGGGCTGCTTCCCAGGGAGGCCCGTGGTGTGCTCGGGGCAACCCTGGCACCCACCCTGCATTGGACAGCAGTGCTGGGCCCTTCTCACCTTTTTATATCTTTTTTTTTTAACTTAAGTTTCGGGCCTTCACCACCATGGTTATCTCAAGGCAGTTGGGCAGGGGGTGGCACAGCGTTCCCTACACGCCCCGTCCCTGTGGCCAAGGAAGCTACTGAGGCTCAGACACCTCTGTCCGGGCCCCGCGCTTGCACTGGCGGCCAGTGCCACACGTGCATGTGGCCTCGTGTCATTGCTGGAGTCCCTCAGGCAGTCTTTGCCTTAAAACCTGGGGCGACTCCGGGCCCAAACCGCAAACCTCACAGGAGAGGCAGAGGTAGGCTCAGGAGGAGTGAGCCCCTCCTGTGGGGCACAGAGCCCACCACTAGAGAGCTTGGCAGGGTCCCAGGTGTGAGGACCGGGCAGCACAGCAGGCCTAGCCCCCCCACCCCACTCGGGAGTGGGAGATGTGGGCTCTGGCGCCCTCTACTGTACTGAGCCTGGGAGTGGACACTCCAGGGCAGAGCCTCCTGGTGGGTTCCCTCCCCGGGCCGGCTGCCCTCACACTCACTCCCTGGGCTGTCCGGTTCCTGGTGCCCCTCACCGCCTGTCCCCAGCCAGGAAGGACGTCTGGCGGCCTGGAGGACCCTGACAAGCTGTGTAGAAAGGCTGAGACCCTTGGTCCTCCGGGTCCCCGGGTGCACTGCCCCTGCGTGCTGCTGATCCGGGGACGCAGCTCCTATAAAGGCCTGGACGTGGCTGGGCCTGTCCTGGGGCTTCCAGGTTCCCCGCAGCAGGTGCTCTGCCTGCCTGCTAAGGTTGCCCTGGAGACCTCCCAAATGATGCAGGCTCCTCTAGGGTTCCGTGGGGACACCCCTGGGGACATGACCTTACAAGCCGAGCCTCCTCTGAGGGCAAATTCTTCATGGGGCCAGTTGTTGGAGGCCAGCCCTGGAGGCACGGGGCCTGGGCACCCTCTGTAGCACCACCTCTGCATGGCAGAGGTTTTAAGGATCCCACTTGGGAGGCAGGGACCGCCTGGGGCCACGTCCCACGGTGCTGACTTGGGCCTGCCTGCTGGCACGGCCACCTGACGCCCACCATTCCCCCTGGTGTAGACTGAGGCGTCCCCAGGCTCCCCGTGGGCCTCCATGTTTTGTCTGAAGCTCTGTCATGGGCTGCTTTGCTTGTGTGTTCTGTGCTAACATCTAACTCAGAAAAGGCAGCTGGCACGTGTCCACGGGCGGCGGGCGGCTCAGCCCAGCCCGCGGAGTGCTGTGTGCGTGCCCTCGCCGCCAGCATCCTGACCCGGGCGCGTGTCTGTGCTGCCTCCTGCTGTTACTGGCTAACCTGTTACACTGGGCTACTTGGGGTGGGGAGTTATGTTTTGTTTTTTTAATGGATTTGTTTGTGTTTTTCAAGAAAAACAGAATTCTAAGGACCACTGAAGGCCTCATGTAGTCACTTCCTTAGCACCTGGCTGTGGCAGGTGTTCCTGGGGCCCCCCAGACCTGCCGCTGCCACCCACTCCCCCTAAGCAAGGAGACAGCCAGGGCCCTCGGGCTGGGTTCCTGGTGAGGTGCTCCCAGGCTCTGGGAAACTCTGGGTTAAGCCCCAAAGGCACTTGCCGGGGGCGCAAGGAGGGGGCACTTGACTCAGCAGGTGTGGGGATCCCAGCGCCTGCATGGGGCCCTTGTTGTGATGTATTAGATTAGACTTTTGCTGGTGCTGGCTTTCCATGCTCCACTTCCCATCCAGCTCCCTGCCTGTGGCTTGGAACAGCAGTTGGGGGCGGCCCAAAGCCTTGGGACCCTGCACTGCATAGGAGACCCAGGAGAAGCTCCTGACTCCTGGCTCCACACAGTGCAGCTCTGGCTGTTACGGCCATTTGTGGCGTGAGCTAGTAGATGGAAGATGTGTCTTTCTTCACTCTGGCTTCATTTCCTACTCCCACGTCGCCATGCCCTCTGAGTGCCAACACTGAGGCAGATGCAGCTGCTCCAAGTCCTGCCGTGCAGGCCGCACCCAGGAGTCCTGACCCCATGTGGCCCTGGATCTGTGAGACTGCTTCCCCGTTCCCCCACGTAGGGGTCAGGCCAAGCCCTGGGCCTGGAGGAGCGTGGACGCCCCAACATCACCTCTGCCTGTTTTTAGTGGGTCCTGAAGGGACACTCTGAGCTGACCCCCCGACCCCATGCACCTGCTGGACCAGGTAGCCCCCCCGCCGCCCGCCAAGGCCTGCTGCGTGGCCTCTGGGAGGGGCTGGGAGCCCTCCGCCTGGCATACCTGCTCCCTCACCCCGGCCCCGGGCAGCACCTGCCCTCCTGGGCTTCTTGTTGCCTCGAAATGCTGGGTGATAACACAGGTGAGGGGAGACACCATGATGCCTCTAGCCACCCACCGCCCCCTCCTTCACCCGTGCCCCGGAGCAGGCTGGGGCTTCCTGGGAACGCTGGAGGAGTGCCATCCAGGCCAGCCACTAGGCAAGTACAGGGGCCTGGGGCGGTGGGATGGGGCTGGGTGAGGCCCCAGGTGCGCAGCTGTCTTCAGGACCAAGGGGGCTGTCTTCAGTTTTACTGAGGTTGAGTTAGACGTGGAGTTCCACTGGTTCACTCCCTAAATGGCCAGAGTCTGGAACCTCCCAGGTCTCCCACAAGGGTGAGGACTTGGCCGTCACTGCTGTCCGCCCAGGTGTGTGAGCAGAAGGGGGCTCGGAAGTGGAGCAGCTGGAACGTCGGTCATTGCTGAGCCTGCCAAGTGGCGGCTCAACTTGCTGACGTGCCAGGACACCAGCCCGGGGGGAGCTGCTCTGGAAGGCCCCAGGCGGGGGATTGTGAAACAAAGAACCCAGCTTCTGTGGAGCAGCCAATCCTAGGGTTACCACAGTGTGCGGGAGCTGGGGCAATGGGGCCAGGGGCACTTGGTTGCACCACACCTGTTGGCATTCAGGGTCAGGCCCAGTGGGGAGGGGGTCAGGCCTGGAAGGTCCAGGCTCGCTGGGAGGCGTCCAGGGGCCTGGACACCTGAGAAGGAAGAGGCAGACCTACAGTTTGAGACCTAGTGGTCAGGGCAGCCAGGCAGTTCAATTGCACAAGCCTAAACTTCCCGTGGGAATTTCAGTTCGTATTTTTATTATCTGAAAGGCAGAAACCAAAGGACCGAGATTTTCCTCCTGCCGGACTTCCCAAATGCCTGTGGCACCAGGCTTGGGCTGGCCTTGCTAAAGCTGGGAGCCAGGAGCCCCATCCAGGTCTCCCCGTGGGAGCAGGGCCAAGGTGCATTAGCAGGCAGCTGGGTCGGAGCAAAGGCGCTGAACTTGGTCCATGAGCTTCATGACCTGCCGCTGTGGGGAGCAGGGGGGCGAGGATGGGGGCGGAGATTATGGGGCGTGGCCGACGCTGACCCATCCAGGTGATCCAGGCAAGGTGGGAGTGGGTGAACCTGTGCCCACAGGCCAGCAGGCAGGCTGGACACTGAGGGAGCTCCTGGCACAGCCCCCCACTCCCCCAGGCTCGTGCGACCCCCAGCCCCAGCCTGGGAGACGCAGGCTCAGGTGACAACATTCACCTCCCACAGGCCCTGCTCACCTCCCAGGCTCCTGCCCTGACAGGATATGGCTCCTTCCTCCCAGAGCCCAGGGTGACTCAGAGGTCTGATTAAAGTCAGCCGTGGAAGCGCAGAGAAGACTCCCAACCAGTCCTTGCCGGTTTCTGCAAACACCAATCCCCTCTTGCTCTGAGGCAGCGAGCGAAGGTTCCAGAAATCGTCCCTTCTCTTGCTGATCCCTGCAGGGCTGGGTAAGGAGCAGGCAAGGCCTGGCTTCTGACCCTGCGGCCACCTCGGCCGGCACCCTCTCGGGCTCCCCCAAGCCCACAGAGCCCCGTGGTCCCTGGGCAGCCTCTGACTGGCCAGTGGAAAAGGGTGTGGGTGCTGACCCTCGTCCAGGAGACGCCAGAGAGTGGGCACTGCCTCTGGGGTCAGGGAGCCGCAAGCGAGCCCCAAGGTGGCCATTGGCCCTCCCCAGGCCTCTGTCCTTAAGGGCTGGCCAGCACAGCTGTGGAAGTCATCAGGAGGAATGGAGTCCCTCACCCGGTGTTCCCAGCTCATCAGCCAGTCCGGCTCGTCCTCCATATAGAGGAAGCCACCCAAGGAAACACGGGCTGGCACTGTGGCACAGCAGGTTAGTGTGCAAGTTGCCGTGAGCACAGATTCAAATCCTAGCTGCTTCACTTCCTACCCAATTCCCTAATGAGAGGCCCACGTGCTTGGGCCCCTGCACCCATACAGGAGGTCCAGGGGAAGCTCTTGGCCTTGGCTGACTCAGGCCTGGCCGCTGAGGCCGTAGCTGGCAGGGGCCCTGTGGGGCCAGGCAGAGGTGGTCTACACGCCGGGGATGGGGGCGGCTTTCTCCTGTGCTGTGCCACCTGGGGAGGGTCTGCCTGGCCCAGCCTGTGTCCATGGGCCGCGTCTGGAGAGACAGGCCAAGCCCAGTGTGGGAGCACTCTTTTCCCTGGCTTTGGAGCAGCTGGGCGGCTCAGGGAAGCATTGATGAGGTCGAGGAGTCTGGGGGCTCGAGGAGGCCTGGGGGCGTCCCCGATTCTGCAACACGGGCCGGGCAGGCTTTCACCTTGTCCTCCCTCAGCCACCTGTCGTCCCCGAGGGCCCTGAGCTCTTCTTCCAGCCTTGCTGGGAGCAACGCCTTCTGTCGCTGAGCTCCCGTTGGGGCCGCTGGCCACTAAATCGGGCTTGTCACCAGGGACGTGTGTCACTGCGGGAGGAGTGGTGGGCGCAGCGGGCTGGGACCAATGACCCACGGGCTGCTGGCAAAATAGCAAAACAGGTCACACCCGGATTAGAGCGCTGGCCCCAAGAGGGTCAGCAGGGCAGGGTGGTGGCCAGAGTTCCAT